TCTCATATCTAGATGGATCATAAAGTCATTGGTCAATGCAAAGATATAGTCGTTTTGGATATCGAATATGATCGTTATGGATCATCTAGAAAGATTGAGAGACAGAGACTGAGTTATTGGGATAGACACTATATCATGTTCTAGACTTAGTTGAATGTTCGTTGAATGAAAGGACCGTATCACTATGAGCTCTATATTACAGGGAGTTTGTATAGTCCTCGCAAACGTCCTTATATATTAAGTTTGTCTGGAGAATCGTCTAGGGATTCGCTAAGACCTTAATTTGATTAGTGTTTAATATATAAAGCCCTATGGGTCACACAACAAGTGATTATACCTTCCGATTGAATTGTTAGAAGGAATTAAATATTATTAATTGGATTAAATAATATTTAATTCGTAATACTGAAAATGAATTAAATATTAATTAGATTAAACATATTTAATTCATGAAGCTGAAGGAGAGTTCTATTTGATAGAATTAATTAAGTAAGATAAATTAGATTTATCATACTTAAATAAGATGTATTTATTATTAAATAAAGTAGATATTTTCTTTTGTAATTTGGAATTAAAAGAAAAGTAAATAAAATAAATATTAATATATAATAATTAGAAAGTGGCGTGCAGCCACATCTCAATTATTATTATTATTATTATTTTGTCTTGTTTTATCTACTTATTTAATTAATTAGGAGTATTAGTCCTAGCAGGATTAGAACTCATTAATTAGAAAGACTTTCATTGTGATTGGGAAACTAGTTTCGAACTAGTATAAATACATCCTTCTCCTTCATAATTGATAGACCAGTTTTTAGATTCAGTATTACCAGTTTATTTCCCCGCAAAGAGATTTCCTAGCCTTTCTCTTAGGGAGATCTAACCGTTCTTTTGGAGAGGAGAAATCACGTGGATACCTAAGGTCAAGGATTATCACCGCTAGGCTGGAAGATTTGTAAGTTCTAACTCAGATCTGTTATAATTATCATATTCGTTATTTTGTCATAATCAGGAAAGATCTGTTTGGGAAAATTTTTAAACTTCCGTTGCCGTACTTTCGAGGTACGTTACATCAATTTCCTAACAAAATGTTCCCAATTGCATGGGCAGTTGTACCTTCTGAGACTAAAGCCATCTGGAAGTGGTTTATGTAGAACCTCAGAGAAGACTTGAATATTGGAAGGGGGAGACTGGGCTTTTGTTTCTGATCAACAAAAGGTCACACCCACTTTCTTTTCAGCTATAGTTTGCTTCATATCTAGCTCTAATTCCAGTTTCATTTCATAGTATTATCATTTCATACCAATAAAATTACTATAAACTATCATTGTTTATAAACTATCTTAATATAGTTTATAAACTATCATAGTGTTACATTTTCATTTCATAGTCTGACATTATATTCAGGGGTTAATGCCAACTTTCATTTCATTTCATAGTCTGACATTTTCATTTCATAGTCTGACAATGCATAATGACTCACACTTTCATATGTTCAAGGGTTAATGCCAGCTTCATATGAGACCTTACCTGATGTTGAACACAGAAGATGTGCCAGGAACATTTATGCAATTTGGAGACGAAGTCATGGTGGTTTGGAGTTGCAAAGAGAATTCTGGAAGTGCTGCAAATCATCCTCAAAGAGGGAATTTGAACTCAATCTAGAGGTACTTAAAACTCTTTCTCCAAGTGCTCATGATGATATGGTGAAGATAGATCCCAAGTTCTGGTGTAGAGCCTTTTTCAATAGGGGTATCAAATGTGAAATAGTGGATAACAATCTGTGTGAGGCTTTTAATGATGTTATAGTACCTGCTAGATCTATGTTTGGTTATTCTCAATTGGAATATATAAGAAAATTGGTGATGCACAAGTTATTAAAGAATAGGAACCTGGGTGAGAAGTGGGTAGGTGACTTAGGTCCCACAATTAGGAGGAGGATAAACAAAAATGTATTGGCTAGTAATTATTGGAGGGTTCTTTTCAATGGTTCTGATGGGTATGAGGTTTCATGTGGCTGAGACATTTATTTGGTAGATTTAGAGAATAGGAGTTGTTTATGTGAGCAGTGGGATGTTTCCGGGACTCCATGCAAACATGACATTTGTGCCATAAGAGATAAGGGACAGAGAATTGAGGATTATGTTTCCCTTTGGTATAAAAAGGAAATGTATTGCCATACATATTCTGAAATGATGACCCCAATTGCTGGAACTTTATTTTGGCCTAAAACAATAGTTAAAGTCCTCCCACCTGAGTTGAAGAAAAAAGAACTGGGTAGGCCTAGGAAGAATAGAATTAGGGAGATTAGAGAGATTTCATTGAGTGGCAAGTTAACCAAGAAAGGAACTAACATTACATGTCAACTGTGCTTCAGAAAGGTCATAACAAGAAAGGTTGTCCTGCGAAAGAGCAAATTTTGCAAGGCACCACAACATTCCCTTCTGATTTAGAAGGTGGTAGTTCTCAACAACCCCAAAAAGTATCTCAAGAAACAACCCAAAATGGTGATCAGGTAATTGTGATAAAACATTTAATGAATTATGGGTATTAATTTTATGAAGGTCTATAAATTTGCATCTAAAGTACTAACTGTATATGTTTTGTTGATAGGAAAATAACTCTGCCTTTGCTGCTACAAATGAGAACAATGTGGAAGCTAGTAGATTGCAGACTTACTTCAATGAAAACACATACATGGAAGAGAGAAATAGGGACAATGTGTTTCAGTTTAGGGGGAAATGCAATCAGTTCTGGTGGTTTGGAGGTACACTTTGCATTGCATGTTGTTCCTATGTTTCAATTTCTCCATACAATATAATAAACTTATATTTCATTTTGTCCCTATAAACTTGGAAACTCATTTTATTCATACAGTGGTTCAGGCAAAGAAAGGGCAAGGAGATAAAGGAAAGGACCAATAAAGCAAGAAAAAGAAGTTCCGAAGAAATGGAACTTACTGGGGTGTCGACTACTGCAAGGGACATATTTCATACCTTGTTTGACTCTATGGAAGATTAGTGTTGTTCTGGCACATGTGGAAAATCTTAGAATGATGTTTTGCTTGTATGTTGTTAACTAAACTTCCTTTTTGCTTGTAATTAGCCTAACTGTGTTGTGGGAGTACAAATTTGCAATTATGCTAGCTTGTACTCTCAGAATTCATGGACGGATTGGATAGAAATCCTTGTTTTGCTTAGGAGGGTTGCCATTGCTTTTATTATAAATGTAATGACATTAGCATGCTGTTTTTTGACTACAAAGCTGCTTAGTTAATGTATACCTGCCTCATGTATTGGGTTTAATGCTTGGGTTTAATGTATACTTGCCTCATGTTATACCTAAAACTAATGTGTTCCTTGTTAATATTCAGCACATATAAAATCTCTTTCTTTTAGCAAGGTTCAGATAGGTACAATTTATGGATTATACAGGTTCCATTGAGTGATGTTCACAAGATATGATGTTCACATAACCACACCTCAACATAACGAGAGCAACAAAACCGTTGTTGGTACATACATAGGAATAACAGAGTAAACACTTCTACATAACTCAGAACACACACTACATAACTAAGTGTTCTCATTACACACTACACTTCTCCATAAATGAGGACACACACTACATAACACCATAACTGATAGGATCAATCCTCACATGAATTTTTCTTCTCATTCCCAACACAAACTACCAGCAGGAGGCCTAGGATAATTACTCATATTATACACCAGAAGCTGTCCTCATCTTATGTCTTTTCTTCACAGCCTTTGCCTCATCAACTGCATGTTGCAATTTGTTGATTTTCCTCAACAGCTTGAGTATTATCATCTTTGACCTTGCACACATTTCAGGATCAATCCATTCATACAGGTTGCAGGAACCACCTATAGCCTATTTTGGGCAATAACAATATGTCATTTCTGTATATCAGCAATTTTATGAAAACAACACCAAATTACATCAAACCACAATTAATTAGAAAAACCCCTTACTCTTGAGCAGGCAATGAACCGTCTCCCTGGATTGGCATCTGTCCAGGATGTCATCAGCTTCACATGCATTCCACACCCACACTTCCATAATCCATGTCCGTATATATTTGTCCAATTCAATTAAAAAATAAAACCAGTACAACTATGTCATTCGTAACCCACCTTCATCACAACATAAGAAATATGGAGGATTAAGCAACTCACCCAAGAATGACCACAGATCCACAGACACTTCCCTTTGCTGCGCAAACAAGTAATGATAATTGAAGAAGAAGATGAAGCAACAGACTAAGGGGTGTTTGGATCTGATTCTTAAAACTGCTTCTGCTGCTTCAGGTAGCAGAAACAGAAGTTGGAGTGTTTGAGTGAAAACTGATTCTGATTCTGCTTCTGCTTTAAAAAAGAAGTAGAAGCAGAATCAGTTCCAAACAGCCCCTAAATCTTTAAATTAGGGTTTTACATTATTAGGGAGGTTGGGGGAAGCTGACCGGGCATCACACTGTACGAACGAAACAAAGAATAATTGCCATTTTTAAAGAGCTGGTACCTAAGTACTACTTCAACTCTAAAACGGCCGAATGGTGTACGGTTTAAATTGATTTTTTTTGGAGTCCTATTTAGGATGTTTTTACTTGGACTGTAATTCCTCCCAGACCAGACCAGATCAGACCAGACCAAATCAGACCAGACCAGACCAGACCAGACCAGACTTATACAGTTATAAAAATACAAAGAAACCAGACCAGATCAGATTAGACCAGACAGACCAGACCAGCAAATTAAGGTACAAGTAAAAACATCTTACTCCTTCGTGTACTGATTCGACCCTCTTCTCAAATTTGGAGTCTTCAACACCATTAAAGTCTGAAGCCCTGTTGGACACCCTAAAACACTCCCAATGTGAGTCCACTTGTCTCACAAGTTCAAGGTCATGAATTTGTGACACTGTGAATCCAAGGTAAGAATTCCTCAACTATTCCATCAGAAGTAATCAAGAGAGAAGCGCGGGAAGCAAGAATGCTAGCAAACGGGAGATACCAACTCAGGGATGTCTCGTCCAGATTCTTCAACCAAGTTCGTTCTTTTTAAATCTTTTTCGTAGTACGATTCTGTCTATAAGATTGTAGTTTTTGAACCATGCTGCCGTTTACCGTGGTTGTAGATTTCCATGCCTTTCTTTCCTATGAGATTTCCAGTTGCATTTTAATGTAATGATTTTATTTTTGATGTGATGCAAGTGTTACTAAACGTAGTAGGCGTCATTGTAGATCAATTAATTGACTTAAAATCATTGCTCCTTCAATCCTACCTCTACTTGACAAATTTATTTGCTGCTTCAACAAAGTTTATCACATGGAAGCAATTCTGTGACATTTATTGCAAACTAAATGAAAAGTTAGTTTTTTTATTATCAAAGTTGGTTCTTTTTTTGAAATATATTTTATTTTCTTTTTTTGAAGAAAAGGTGTTGGACATATAATTTTTATTGCACTGAGCATCAGTTTTTTGTCCTTTCTGTTTGGGTGTTCTCAAAAATTGATACTTCTTGACTCAAACATTACAGTTTCAGGTAGGCAAAGCCAAAGCGTATTCTATAAAGACTCTTCACGATGTAGGACAGCCCACAGCTGCTACTCATCCTCAGGTAATCTTTGCTTGATGTGTAGCCACTTTCGGGAAATCAAAACGTAACTGTTAATTTTGAGTTTGACTTGTAAATAAAATATGACTCTAATACACTTAAGGCTCCTGTTGGGCTCATAACATTGTATTTTCTGATATTCTGTGTTTACTGCTCCTTTTCAGTTTTCTGAATAAGTTGCATTTTCTCTGATTGTAGTTAGTGAAGGAAGGTGAGATTACTCCTGGCATTACCAGTGAAGAATATATCACAAGAAGGAAGAAATTATTAGAGCTCCTGCCTAAGAAAAGTTTGGCAATTTTTGCATCTGCCCCAAGAAAAATGATGACTGATGTTGTACCTTACACGTTCCGACAAGATGCTGATTACTCATACATAACTGGATGTCAGCAACCTGGTGGTATAGCCGTCTTAGGTCACGATTGTGGTTTATGCATGTTCATGCCAGAAGCCAACCCCCATGTATCTCCCGAATTATACATCATTATTTTCACTCAGTTTTCTTAACAGGAAACCTACAATTTCTAACATGCATCTTTGTAATGAGTTTTTAAATAGCTATAGTGCCTGTCTAAATTTCACTTGCTTAGCAGTACTTTTACTGATCTTTTAAATTCAAAATATGTATTAGGATGTGATTTGGCAAGGAGAGGTAGCCGATGTTGATGCTGCTCTACAGATATTCAAGGCTGATCAGGCTTACCCTATTAACAGCTTACAAAAGGTAAACCGGATCCTCACTTGATTATAGCAATGTAGCATAGTGGGCTGTTAATTTTGATTGCTTGAATTACTTCTAGTAGGTAATGGAAATTACGTTACGATCATTAATCAAGTGTGTGTGTGTGTTTAATAGTAGTCCTAATTGGCATTTGAAAAGAGAAGCAGAAAGTCAGGAACTGGAACTAAGCTATCTTTTTTGCGAGAGTTACTATTTTCTACTTTTCTGGAAAACTACAAAAATTTAGTGATGAAGAGTCCCTAAGTTTAGCGTTCTCTATGTTTCAAGTATATGGTCAAGAAGTTTTTACCCTCTGCTAGGCTTGCTCAACTTAATATGCTAATACATTATACATCCTCTGTGCTTTCATATTTTCTTATCACATTTCTTTTGATGGCATCAGATACTCTCTGAGATGATCGGAAGTTGTTCTAACATATTCCATAATGTTAAGACTGCTGCATCAGCATATGTTGACCTAGAGTCATTTAGAAAAGCATATCAGAATGGTGTGGTAAAAGATTTCTCAATTTACACTCATGAAGCACGATTGGTCAAATCATCTGCCGAGCTTAAATTGATGCGAGACTCTGCATCTATTGCTTGCCAGGCAAGTCTATTTTATATTTTCTTATTTTACTTTGGAACTTTGAACATTCAATGTGAAACATTGCACATCCTTAGCCAGTCTTCATTTTGTTCTCCTGTTCTGCTCTCTGGGGATGCATGATGCCATGAATTGTGTGGTTCTGTTGAAGAATCCTTAGTGTATACCATATAAAATATTTCATTTTTGCCTCTGTTGATTGTCAGGTTAATTTAATTTTGAGTGAATGTGTATATTATACTTGGTTCAGATGTTCAATTGTTTTTGTTCTCCATTCATTTTTCATGATCATGGTTTGCGCAAATTCGATAACAAAAAATTGCACTTTTAAGGGTTATCATGACCTCAATCCTATTGGACCAGTGCTCTTCTTTTAGTGATTGAAAAATATAAATCACCTTTACACTTCTCTTGGAATGTTTAGTAATTAATACTTTCCTTGTACAGGCTCTTTTAAAAACGATGATGCATTCAAAGGTATATCCTCATGAGGGTATGCTCTCAGCAAAGTTTGAATATGAATGCAAGATGAGAGGTGCCCAAAGAATGGCGTAAGTATATTCCATTCTTGGTAAAAATTGTGAAAGTTGAACAGCGGTGATGGTTTCTCATGCTTTGGTTATACCACTTTCTTTTCACTTTGGTAAAGTTTTGGTCTTTGGATAGGATATCAAAGGAGTAAGTTTCATATATGTAGGAACATTAATGAGTTGAATGAGAGGTTAAAAGTGGACTTTGTGGCTCTTCGCTTTTGCATTTTGAATGAGTGTTTTCTCTTCCCCAGGTTCAATCCAGTGGTTGGTGGTGGGCCTAATGGTTGTATTATTCATTATGCTCGGAATGATCAAAGGGTGAGCTACTACTATTTTAAGATAGATGTTTTGTTGGACCGGCATATTTAATAAGAAACTGTCCTTTGACAGATTGAAGATGGTAACCTTGTTTTGATGGATGTCGGCTGTGAGCTGCATGGTTATGTTAGCGATCTTACTCGGACCTGGCCACCTTGTGGCCACTTCTCTCCTGTTCATGTACGTAATTTACTTAGATACTGATTTCATAGACTGCAATAACATACAACTAGTTCTAAGTTCTAACCCATAACTCTGCCCAACTCGTGGCTGCTTAATTTGTATGAAGACTTGAGGCTACACAGTCAACATTATAGGAGCAGTAGCCTACCTTATATTTTGGTTTTATTCTTAAATGACAGATGTCAAAGACTCAAAGAGTTTAGTATGCTTTACTAGCTGGTGGTTTGTGAGGCAGATCAATCTTGAAACTGTGTGCTCATTTTTATATTTAGTCTGATTGATTGTCTGGTTGAGCTAAAGAATTTATTATGCTATGTCAATATTTGACCCTTAAGGCTAAACTTGAGGGAAGAGTTGCCCAAAAACCTATACATGAGTTTGTATCTCTATATTTGCCTGATGGGAAATGATTTAACAATTTAAATAATGTACTTAGATATAGCTTTCGTATCCTTACAACATATAATTCTAAAGATGGTTGAACATGGAAAAAGGAATTCCAGAAGTCAGGTGTAGAATGAAGCATGATGTTTTTTGTTATGTTGGTTTGGAGTTGAATAGTAAGTGGGTAACATTAAATCCTCAAACAATACCTCAATCTGATTTATTCTTGTATCACCCATAACTTCAGTCAGATCTGTTTTTTTTAACAAATAGAATTACGGAATGATTGATATGAGATGCAATTACAAATATGTAAAGCTGAATTATGATCTGAATTCTGAAGTCATGCAACCCATTCTAGGTGGTGTTCTCTTTACCTTTTTTGGTTTATATCTTATTCTTATGTTATCACTCCAGAAAGGTTTAGACCAAACCTGGCCAGACCTAAAGCTCTAGACTAGATCAGGCTCTACTTGAAACTTTAAATCAGACCAGGTCAAAATTTTAAATTTCTCATTGGACCAATATTTAGGTGAACAACAGGCTCTTATTTCATGAACCTCAGCTATCTGAATGATGGATCATAACATATCCTTCATTGCATGCATATCTTGTAACATTTTTTTATCTGAACTTTTTATTTTTTTTCTCTGTTTGCAGCAGTCCATATTCTTATCGTTGTATGCCTAATACCTTTATAATTGGGCAGCACTAATGCTATGTACCCTTCAGGAAGAACTGTATCATATTCTCTTAGAGACGAACAAGGAGTGTATCAATATGTGTAGACCTGGGACAAGCATTGATGAAATACATTACTACTCGGTAATGATATAATGATTTAGTTCTTATACATGTTTGCAGTCTTTCATATCATTGGGTTGCGTTGGACTATGATAGAGAGATTTCGCAAGTTTTACTTTGTCTTTCATATTCCATACTACTACCTCCGTCCCATTTTATGTGTCTCACTTTGACTTGGTACGATTATTAATAAAGTGGTTGAAAAAGTAAAAGTTGTGGTTGAGGTTTGAGTATAATAAAGTGAAATGGTGTAGGCCACATATTTCTTTCCAAAAAAAGAAAGGAGACACTTATTTTGGGACAACCCAAAGAGGAAAGTGGGACATATAAAATGGGACGGAGGGAGTACTATTTAGGTGGATCCATGATATGAATGTTCCACAAGGTTAAGAATTAAGATGTACCTCCATCCCCAAAAAGACCAAACACAATGTATCACTTTTTCTTTTTGCATAAGGTGCAAGTGTAAAAAATTACGTATCATACTTATATTTCTAAATTATTCTAGGCTTAAGCCGCTTAGCTAAATTTATTACATATAGCTTGTATGTGACATTTTTTGGTAAGTTACAAAAAAAATTACTTCATTTGATCAATATGGAGTATTTCTTTGTTGGAATGAATTTATTTTGGGTGGGTGGATGGGGGGGTGAGTATTTGATAAGCGTGCATAAACGGAAAAAGAAAGATTTTAATTTTAGTGGGTTATTAACTATGAATTTTGACACTGGTACACACACAACATGAAACGACATATTTTGATTTTTTGAGATTTTGTAGGGATACAATCACTACTAAATATATTAGTAAGTATAGCAATAATACACATAATGTTTAACGACTTAACGTGTTTGGATCGTTTCGTCACTTAAGAAGAGATGGGTAGATACAAAATCGGAGCGATTGATCTAGGGTTTTGTTCTTTTAACAGTTCAGTGATTTCAGTCCAATACATTGTACTTGTTTAAAAACTTCATTCCTTCTAACAACACCATGATGTGTCCCTGAAGTGTGAAGTATACTGTATACCTATTTTAGCAGGTAGTGGTAGGCATTTTCGTGTCCAACAGCATACTTTACTTATTTGGAAGCGTCTTTGCTTCATAGGATTATGGGTTTGGTTTGTACACTGTTTCTGATTCTTGATACTAACTAACTACTCTCTGGTGTTAAACAATAGCAGTCTATATTTTTGCTTGATGGCTGATCTTTTATACCGATTTGTCAAAACAGTTTTAGTCTATCATCATCACTTTGTGTTTACTATCAGAATTTCACACATGATGAAATGGTCTAAGAATTCTACAGTTACATGTGTATGTACGGAGTATTTAAGATATCCTACTGTTGTTTTCCAAACGACAAATCACACCTTGTGCAATGATATTTCTTTTTTTATGTGTGCTGTTTTGTGAGTGATATCATCACGATGCATTCTCATATTTAAATATAACTGCTCAAATAGATGCTTAGTTTTATAATTTCTTGGCACAGGTTAAAAAGTTGCGGAAATCATTCAAGGAGATTGGGCTACTTAAAGATGACAACCCTCACAGATATAATCTTCTAAATCCAACCAATATAGGTATTTTTTAAAACATTTCTTGACCTTTTGCTTGTTGAATTATACTCCGTAGTTGATGATAACTAAATGTGAAAAATTCCTAGCAAAAAGATGGATGAGAAATGAGGACTGAACGAATCCAGGAAATAACTGGTTTCAATCATACCAAATTTCATAATTTGTTTCCTTAAAAAATTAGTTTTTTATTGGGACAGAATGGTGTTACAAGTGCACCCATAGCTAAACTAAATTTGGATTGGCAATTAAAACCCTCCAGGTCATTATCTAGGAATGGATGTTCATGATTGTGGTACTGTGAGCTACAACAAAACTCTAAAGCCTGGTGTTGTAAGCTACCTTCCTGACATAAATATTATATCAAGATTCTCTCTTTTGATTCTATCTATTTACACTGGATTTTTATACTTCCCGGGCCACTTTTTGATGCGTAGGTGATCACAATTGAACCAGGGGTATACATCCCTTCTAATTGTGATGTTCCCAGAAGGTATAGTTTTCGGTTTTTACTTCACCAACTTAATATTTGTGGGTTATTTTTTTAGTTAGACATATATGTATACATATCTATTAAGGCTATGTTTGTACGGCCATGCCAGCTCATTTTGAGACGAATTTAATTAATCAAGATAATTACCTTGAATGTAGCCTTGTTTGGATGAGGAAATGAGGACTGAAGTTGACTGAATAAAAAATTAATCATCTAATTTCAAACTATTGATTTCAGTCTTTCAATTTAGCTTATTAATTTAGCGTAAATTTATATCAATTTTACTCTCCCATTATTCATACTTTAGAGTAGTGATCCTGTCAGGCTGGCCTGACAGGACCCGCCCGTCCCGCCATCTGTCCAAGGCCTTTTGGGGCCCTTCTTGGTGGAACTTTTTGAAGAAATCTTTTGAGCATGTTCTTCATCAAGTCTTGTTTATACCCATCAAATTTCAGCTAAAAATTCAATCGGGAAGTCAGCCAAATGTGGAATTGAAAAACATTGCGCTTTATATACATATAAAGCATGAACTGCCCTCTCATACTTTATATGGTTTCTATTAAAACATGTGCTTTGTGACAATTTTACATTTTTAAGTTGCTATTTGACTATTTCAGTTTCAACAACTTTTATCCGGTTGGAGATAATAGCCTTGAACTTTAGTTTGTTCTTCCGGACATAGACTAACTAGGTGCTAATCAGGAAGCAAAAGATAGTAGTAGAGATGCCTTACTTAAGAGCCTAACAGTCATGATTGACAGTTTGATTTTTTAGGGAGTCCCACCAATAGGAATGTAGGATACCCTCCAATACAAAGAATAAATAAATAATTAAAATAGAGAAAAGTGTCAAATTGGCTCTCGTACTCTGTACGGAAAGTCAATTATGCCCTCGTACTTTAAGTTTCATCATAAACCCTCCTACTTTGAAATTTTCGTCAAAATCGACTTGTAGCAGGTAACCCGCCTGGTCAGCAGGTTACCCGCTGACATGGCGCATACCATACTTGTCACGGCGGTAAGTCGAGTCGCGGCGCCAGCTGACCGCCATATCGCCTAGGCGACAAGGCGGCCGCCTAGGCGACAATTAGGCGACTAGTCGCCTATATGTGTATTATATATTTATAATTTTATATTATATATTATATATATATAATTATATATTAACTAAAATGTATATGACTTAGAATTGAAATCCACAATTAATAATTAAAAACAAGGTTTATTAATGGGAATTAAGATTAAAAAAGTATATCTCAAATAAGCAGCGTAAAGATCAAAGTTCAAACTACTAAGTTCTCAAAAATCATCAAGGACTAAATCATCTCTACGGCCTTCGCCCTGATCATCATCATCATGAGTAGGAGTGGGTGGTGTTTGGCCATAGTCATCTTCAACATCTTCATCATCATTCGGAAAACTTTCTTCTTCTTCATTGTCCATGTCTTCATCAATCAACCTTAATGAAGAATTCGAACCACGACGTCGATAATAAACCGGTTCTCCACGAGAGCTATTAGTTCTAGGAAGATTACGACCCTCAAGATTGCTTGATGCACCCATGGCTTCATCAACTTGACTCCATAGAAGATCATCACCAGGATGAACAACTTCATTGCTGACCCATTCATTGTCCCATTGGAAATCTTCAAAAATTAAAGGGTTGAAGTTTGTTTCTTCTTCACGCCGCTTCTGAAATCTGGTTGCTATCTTCCGATTATATTGAATAAAAACCAAGTCATTCAACCGCTTATGCTCTAACCTGCTTCTTCTTTTTGTATGAATCTAAAATAAAGATAAAAAATATATTTGATAAGTGTTTTGATTTAAATAGTTAAAATCTTGTGTAATTTAAAATATGTAGTTAGTATTCAAAATTGTAAGTATATTACTTACAAACTCAAAAGTGCTCCAATTACGCTCACAGCCAGAAGAGGTACAACAGAGACTAACTATGCGTTTTGCAAACGATTGCAGCTCAACAGCGAGTCCACCAAAAGCATCCCACCAATCAACTATAGATTAATCACAAATAAAATATTATTTAATTTTTAAAATATTTAAACTGAATTTTAAAAATAATAAAAAGTATCACTTACGAGGACTCTTAGATTTTTGTTGCCTAATCGCGAGCTGCTTTGCAAAACTGCCTCTCAATTTGTCATAATCTGTCGCTTGATCACTTATCTTGGCCTGCAATGTTTCATCGGTGACCATCTTTTCAAGCACATCGTTAAACATTGATCGTTGCTTTGATGCTGATGTGGGATCGGTTAGTTTGAGATCAAAATATTTAGACGGATTTAAAAACAAAGCTGCCCCGTATAATTTGACCTCCATCTGGACTTCCCATCGTGTCTCAATGATCCGAACTAGGCTTCTCAAAACTCTAGTCTTATTTTCAAATGACTCGCAATTTTTTTTCTTGGCACAATCCATGGCTAGTGAAAGCTCTGGCATAGCCGGTTTCTCATCAGCATCAACTATCCTCAAGACAATTAAAAGTGGCTGTGAAGCTCGTATGCAATCTTCCACTGCACTCCAGTATCTAACAGACAACACAATCTCACTAACCTTCTTTCCTGCTTCTGTGGCAGCCAATTTAGATCTACTCCAATCCAGACCGCTAAATTGATTTCTCAATGCTTCTCTGTGTTTATATAGAGATTGAAAAGTGAGAAACGCTGTTGCAAATCGAGTAACTCCAGGTCTTACAAGATCCTTCCCACCCGTCTTTTGTCTCATTGAATGGAGGATTCTTGTATGCCGATAAATGAAAGTAGTCACACGTCTTGCTTTTTCAATGTGGGGCTTGAAATCGGCTAATTTACCGATATCCTCCAACATCAAATCCAAACAATGTGCAGCGCATGGAGTCCAATAAAGCGTGGATATCTTGTGCTCTAGAAGCTTTCCCGCAGCCTTATAGTTAGAGCCGTTGTCTGTCACAACTTGCACTACATTGTCTTTTCCAACTTCTTCAATTTTTTTCTCAAGCAACCCTGCTAGCAATGTTGCATCTTGAGATTCACCTGATGCATCAACCGAGTCTAGGAAAAAAGTACCTTTTGGACTATTGACAAGGAAATTAATCAAGTGTCGATTCCTTCGGTCAGACCATCCATCAGACATGAGTGTGCACCCGTATTCCTTCCAAGCAAGTTCATGTTTTTCTCTGAGCTTCTCTGTATTTTTCTTTGCTTTTTCAAGAAGTGGTACACGCAACTCATGATAGCTAGGAGGTTTAAGTCCTGGTCCAAACTGCCCAATTGACTCCACCATGATCTCATAACTCCTGGAGTTTGCTGCATTAAAAGGAATGCCGTTTTCATAAAAAAAATCAGCAATGTGCATGAAGACCCTCTCTTTCTCCTCCTTGCTTTTTGTGCATTGTTCTAGTGTAGTTTGGGTGGGGCCTTTCGTATGTCTTTCATCAACAACCTCCTCGGGAGTTTTGCGAATGATGGAGGCAATTGACTTGTTTTGTTTGGGCATTTTTGGTGGAACATTAAAGAATTGTGAAGCAGCATTTTTTCTCTTGGTTGCTGTCCCAGAACTCGGTTGAGAAGTTGAAGTATCTATTTGAGTCAAAGGTACTTCAACATCATCTTGATCGTCATCATCTTCAATGTGGATCGGTTTTTTTCTTGATTTTCTCATTAGATATTCTCGCATCTCCCTCATGAGTTCTGTTGTCGTATGAGGACATACAACAACATCTCCATATCCGCCTGCTAAATGTTGCTTCAATCTCTTTATGCCAGAACGCATTTGCTTATTACAATGCTGACATTGGACGAGGTCTTTATTGTTCAAGTCTGGCCAAAATCCATGGTGCCACCCTGGGTCATCAGATTTCGCTCTTCTAGCAGGATCTTTAGATGGATCATACACGGGTTCACCTTCATTGTCCGCCATAAGTGATATGTATACAAAATTAGTTTAAACTTTAAAATAATGAAAACTTAACAATACAGTAATACACCCAACCAATATAAAATTAATAATAAATCAATATACACTGTATAAATTATAAATTATAATAAATAATCCTAAAATTTAAAAAACTTAATCCATTCACTAATAATTCTCTGAAAATTGTAATAATAACATTTTTCTAAAAATATGAATATTAAACAATAACACATGTATGCAACTAAAATATATAATTTATTATATGCGTATAAGTGTATAACTATGTAATTATGTATTGATTATATATGTATAAAATTGATTAATAAGTAAGAATACTATATGTGTATACTGTATAATATAAACAATAATATGTATTGATAATGCATAGAACATATATCTGCAATTTGATATATATACAATTATATACGAGTATAACTGTATAAGTATAACTGTATATAAGTTATAACTATAAAACTTTATTAAAAATAATAAAAAACTTTATTATATACTTCGTATTATATAATTTATATACGACTTACTCTCTAACTCTCTAAGAGAAGAGAAATCGAGAAGCAAGTAAGCGACTAGAGACTGTAGAGAGGCGGAGAGCTGAACCTGGGAAAGTTGGAACCTGGGAAATCGAGAAGTCGTCTGCTTCAGCCAAGGACAGGGCAGAGAGGGCGAGACTGCGAGACGGCCGAGACCTCTTCTTCCTGGAGTGTTTCGTCTGCTTATGGATTTCTGGGAAGTGGGAAGTCCGCTAATCCGCTTCTTATAATTTCGTAAGTTTAATAATTAAGGAGTCTGGGGCTCTGGGCTTTATAGTTAATTAATCAAATTAGTTTCCTAAAATTAGTTTCCTAAAATCTATTATTCTATTTTGATTCGCATCATCGCATGATCGCATCTGGGATTCTGGATTTCTGGGTACAATGGGCTTGCGCTTTGCGGGCCGGTTCTGTTCGACTTGGGAAGAAGTCGAAGACTTGTTGCCTTCATCACGCCTGGACGACGACTGGACGACGCCTGGCACGCCTATTCTTCTTCCGGCGAGGCGAGTAACTCCGGCGAGCTGTCCCTAGCGCCAGGACGCCTAGTCGGCGACTAGGCGACGCCGTGACAAGCCTGGCGCATACGTGGCCTGACACAATGCACACGTTGCGGGCCACGTCGATTTTTATTTTTCCTTTCTTTTTCTTTTTTCTTTCTCCTTTTTCTTTCTTTCCTCCTCTTTCCCCGATCCCCCTTTCTTCCTTCTGCAGACCTGTTTTTCTTCCTCTAAAATTCTTCTGCAGGTCACCGGTTAGGACAAACTTCATCCGGCGTCCGGCGGAGAAGCTTTGTCACTTTTCTTCCTTCGACCTTCGCTGCTGCCACAGAACCTTTTCCGGTTTCCTTCCTTCGACTTGCAGTCTTGCACTATCGCCGGAGAAGCTTTGCCAGAATTGGGAATCGTCGTTGACCTGGAGGATGGCACGAGCAACCTGCAACCGATTGGCATGCCGGCTTGGAGTCTCCGACTTGTGGCTTGCATAGGAATACTGACCGGAAGCGTTGTTGCCGCCGTCCATAGGATTCCGATCTGGACTTGTACCGGCCGGCGTGGTGGCGAAGGAAAATAGACAGAAAGGCTATGAATCGACAAGTTTTGTTTCAGATTTGGTGAGGAAGAGAAGAGGCAGTGTCTGGTAGACCTGGTGGTTGTACGCAGGGGGGAGGTCGGAAGGAAAGAGGTAACGATGAAGGAGAAAGGAAAGGAAGGGGGCGGGGGGGGAAGGAAAAGAAAATGAAAAAAGGGGGAAATGAGGTGGATGCCACATGTGTGTTGTGTCAGGCCACATATGCGCCAAGTCAGGCCACATGTACGCCACATCAGCAGGTAACATGCTGACCGGGTGGTCACCTGCTAAAACTCGGTTTTGACGAAAATTTCAAAGTAGAAGGGCTTTAATTGATGAAACTTAAAGTACAGGGGCATAATTGACTTTCCGTACAGAGTACGAGGGCCAATTTGACACTTATCTCATTAAGATTAAACAACAAGGTATGACTATCTTCTTCTTTCTAGCCTTTGAAAGACAGGTATACCGTGTACATACAGATTTCACGCAATTTGACTAATGAATACTCCCTCCGTCCCCTTTTAAATGTCCCGGAAGAGGGTGGCACGAGTTTTAAGAAAAGTAGGTTTGTGTGGTTGATATTAATAGATAAAGTAAGAATAAAGTAAGAATGATTTTGAGTCACACAAACTTTACCAAATAAGGTATGGGACAATTAAATAGGGACATCCCAATATGGTAAAATGAGACATTTAAAAGGGGACAGAGGGAGTAGATTTGAAGTGTTCTGGGGCTAAAACATAATTGCACCAAGATCAATGATATTAAATGTGAAATTGATAGTTCAATCCTCTGTGATATGCTGACATAATGAGTACAAGAAGTGTTAATTCCGTTGGATCAGATTTTTTGAATATATTTAATATTTGACAATACAACAACAACAATAACATTAAAGCCCTAGTCCCAACAGAGTTTGGGGTCGGCTAGAATGAATCGGAAATAAATAAGTTCAAATTTTAAGGGCCAATACATATCACACTATGACTAGGGGTATGAAATGTTAAATTGATGATTCAATCCTCTTTTTATTGTATCTTATTGAAGTCAATCCTACTTCCAGATCATATTATAAGGGCATGTTACATTACATAATCTGCTATTATGTTCTTACATGAATTGTGCAATCATCTTTTGCAATCTCTTTTCTGGGTAGAGTTTGCATTTAACTATTCCCTCCATTCCATATAATTCTTCCCACTTGCCATTTTGGGATGTCGCAGTCAATTCTCCCCATTTCCCTTTTTGGAAAGTTTGGTGTGGCTAACATTCATTTACCTTTTTCTTACTCAACCTCAATTATTCATTCCCACTTTATTCTCACTTTCTTAATAAGCGTGCCAAGTCAAACCGGGAAGTATTTTTTGGGACAGAGGGAGTATAAATGTAGACACTAAAATGACTAATGTATTGCTCAAGGTACCAAGGCATTGGGATAAGAATTGAAGATGAAGTCCTCATCACGGATACAGGCTGCGAGGTAAACTTTCTGTTGTGACACACTGTTTCACAATATCATTTTGCAATTGGACATTGTTACAACAGCTATCACAACTTATTTCCGTCTCATTGTATTTTTCCATGCAAGTAGAGAAAAGTTCTAATGAGGACGGTTTTGGAGTTTCATTCCATTTTTCTTTCTTTAGAAGGCTGCAAAAGGAAGGACACCGAGTTTAAAAGACTGCGACTTTTTGCGTGCATGGATCTGTAGTTTTAACTAAGGGAAAACTGTCAAATAAGTCCATGCACTTTCATAAAAAAAATCAATTGAGTCCACATACTTTTAAATGAGTCAATTAAGTCTACGAACTGTCAAAAATCACCAAATCAGCCATTTCATAGGTAATCAATCGGTTTTCGGTCATACTGCTTACGTGGATGCTCCAGCCAGATTTTTTTAGTGTTTTTTATTTTCTTTTCTTTCTCTCCTACCCCGTTTCTTTTTCTTCTTTCTTTCTCTGTTTCTGGCTCCTCCTACAGCATCACGGATTCACGGCCATCACCTAACACTTCTCCTCTAACCTTTCTTTCTCCCACGTTCCAGGTCTTCATCGCCCACACCTACACCTCCTCCTCCACTCAATTTCTTTTTTATCTTTCTTTCTTTCCAACTCCACGCCGAAAATGGTTGCTCGAGCGCTAACTTCCTCCTCGCGCGGCGAGTTTTAAGAGGCATCCAAGCTGCTGCAACAACACCCAATCTTATCTCTTCCCTCCCACAACCGGCTTCTAATTCGTCCAGATATCTTCAAGACACTGCAATTAACCCGTGCTAGACATCAAAAGCCCTAATTTCAAATTTCATGGAAGAATAAACAAGAAGGTGTAAATTTGTAGTGAGTGGATGAGTGGAAGAAGAAAGAAGATGGGATAGAAGTTTACTTGAGACGGTGGTGGGAAGAAGAAAGAAAGAGAAGAAAGGAAATGAGGGAGACAGAGGAGTTTGGTTGCAGATGGACGAAGCTCTCGGACGGGAAAAGAGCAGGGGAAAAAGAAAGAGAAAGAAAAAACAAAGAGAAAGAAAAGTAAGAAAAAAACGTAAAATTAAAATAATAAAAAAGCCACTTGGACATGCCACGTATACAGTCAACCGGGAAACCGGTTGATTACCCATGAAATAGCCAATTTGGTTATTTTTTAATAGTTTACGGACTTAATTGACTCATTTAAAAGTATGTGGACTCAATTGACTTTTTGATGAAAATGCATGGACTTATTTGACAGTTTTACCTTTAACTAATTTTAGACCATTATTGGCATTGTAAATTTCATGTTACCAGTCACAACGTAGTTGGATTAATAAGCTGGCCACCTGTGAAAAACTAAGCTAATAAACAAATGTCTTCCCAACTGGATGCAGGTACTCACAGGATCAATACCCAAAGAAATCAAGCACATTGAATCCCTTCTGAACGACTATAGCAGTGGAGTGGAATCTCATAATAGCTTCACAAAATCTGCATTTAGTTAGTTTGCCCTTGACGCTTCGCTCATTGATGATATCAAAAGCCAGTTTCAGATAACTTTGGAATAGGTGCAATTTTGCTAGCTTCTACAAGCGATGCTTTGGTTCTTTTATTGGAATAAAATAGAATTAAACGAATAAACAATTCTTAGCTTTTATAGAGATGAATACACTTCTCTTTTTTATCAAAGTTAAAGCCATCAAAATATATCTTATTTTGTGTGTGCAAATTTAAAGCCTTGCACAAACATGGGGGTATAAGGTGGGTATAAGGGTGGGTACAACAAGAATGCTTGTTTGTTTACAAAATTACCTTTTCTTTGGTGAAGCGCATTTAATCAAGAGCACTCATAAACTTGTTCTCTCTACTATTTTTACACTAAAGCAAGTTCATACGTTGTGTTATGTGATTTTCTCTATTTTGATTTTTTCCCTTGTAATTACATATCAACCATCAAAAAGTGTTTGCTGATGTAAAAATGTAAAATGTTTTACTTTTGGCTCCACGAGAATTAATGCACTAATAAAGACGATATGATGTTATAATTATGACACTAATATTGCTAATTATGACATTAATATTGCCACATTAATGTGTTTTGAACCGACATTTGGAGAAAATTATAGTACTATTATATAGTGTGATTCAAGATGACAGTATTTTACTCTTATTTTGAGAAAATTATAGTACTATTATAAGTATGATTAAGAGTAAATGATTATTCATTGAATAAAAAAGAAATGCCAGCACGTATGGAGAGTTTTTCGTAAGATAAGTTTCTCCTTAGCGGCTTAGCGTCGTGTAGGGTTTTGCTTCCCTAGCGGTTATGATGTCGCGTAGGGTTTCTTTCCACCAATTGTTTGTGCGACTCTTCTTCTCTAGGTTTCTAGAGTGTTTTTAAAGAAGGCGTGAGTATAGCTACAACTTTTTTAAATGAATTCAAGGTTCAAAAAATGATAATAATGTCTCATATGGATGATCTAGAGCAGTGTTGTCTCATTCCTGCAATTGAGGAGGAGATCGAAGGGTTAGTTTTTGGCGAAACAGCATGGGTAGAGGGCGGTGGTGGTAGTGGAGACGGAACAGGCGACGAGAAGATGGGGAGAGGTGATGGGCTGAGCAAGGGAGAAGACAGATTGGCGGTCCGCCCCCCTCTCGAATCGTCGCCTTGGAGCAATCGAAGTGCTAGGGTTCGGAAGATTTATCGATTCTTTAATTTTTTATGGTTTTATTGTTACGTTATGTTTTATGTTGCTTTGTTTTTTGTTGATGTCTATAGTTTTAGGCCTACAATTATGATTGACAATTCTGTTAGATATTATGTCATTAGAAGGATTTATATGACCAGTGATTGCTATGTCACACCCGCTTGGTGGTTAACAATTGATATTGCTCTTTCAGTGGTGATCGTCTCTGAGTTTAGTCGTAGGATTGATAGTGCTAGTTGGTTAGAGATAGTTGTTGTCAGGATTGATCTTCTTTAGTTTGTTGTAACGATCTGATTCCTTATGATATTAATATAAGCGGTTTATTTTGATGATAAAAAAAGAGTTTTTTTTGCTCTAAATAGGATTAAAATGTTGCTTAAATTCCTAAATGGGACTATGTATACTTCTATTCCCTAAATAGGACTATTGTACCAATTTACCCCTCCATTTAATTCATCCGGCATCAGCCTTCTTTTCCCCTCACATCTGCGCACTTCTTTTTAACACTTGTGCAACTCTTCAACAACGACTTTCAATGTGACGAACAGAGGCAAGCAAGGGTCGGCGGCGGCGAGCAGCAAGCGGCGAGCGGCGAAGGTTTGGCGACGAGCAGCAGTGAGTGGCAAGCGTTGAAAGAGCGACGACGAATGGTGGTGAGAGTTGTGCAGCGGCCAACGGCGAGCTTAAGTTTAGATCTGTTTGTGAAATTCAGGCTCGTTGTTCTCCCTGTGTCTTGCTTCTTGTTCGTCTTCCTCAATCTCTCCTCTATATTTCATTAATATCTTTCTTCCTCTTCGTCAATTCATATGCACTCAACAATGGCAAACACTCATTGTTCATCTTCTTCATATGTTTTGATTTTTTAAAAAATGCCAAATTTTATTTAAAAAATGCCATTAAAATGTCATTGTTTCTTTTGAAAATGCCATTAACACGGCATTTTGGATTCATTTTGGCATTCGGATAATAATGTTGGCATCAGTGACGGCGAATGCCAAATCTGCATCGACGGAGGCCGGATCTGCAGATGTGGCGGCCGGATCTTCGGCAGCAGTCAGTTTTGCGGTGGCGACGGCTAGATCTACGGCGTCAGCGGCCAGACCTACGATGGCGATGGCTAGATCTGAACTGGCGGCTTCCACATATGCAACAGCGGCCAATTCTGCGGCAGCTCTGGCGGCCTGCGACTGGTGGGGCTCCGGTGTCCCGTTTTGCCAAGCTTGAGGGTACTTCTGTCCAACTCTAAAAAATAGCTCCTATTTGGGAAAAGTTTAACTTTGACTCCTATTTTAGCAATCACTGATTTATTTAGTCCTATTTAAGGAATAAGTTCTAAAAAAAGTATGATTTAAGAGTATCCAAATGAGGGAGAATAGGTAGATACATGGGCCTAATCAAATACACATGGGCTTGGGCTTGGGCTTGGGGGAGTAGTGTATACTCTCTCCGACTCGAAATAATTATCTTGTACTCTTGTTTTCCTTTTTGGAATGTTCCAAAATAATTGTCTTGTTTGCTTTTTTGGCAACAATATGTGGCGTATATCAATTCACATTTTTTTACTCAAATCTCAACCACAATTTTTACTTTTTCAATCACTTTCTTAAAACTTGTGCTAAAGCAAACAAGACAATTTTTTCAAGGAGGGAGTATTACATAACCCCCCCCCCCCCCCCAATATACACTACTAAAGAAGTGCATAAATTTTTTAAATACGCTTAAAGAGGCTGTCTTATTAAAAAAACTTGTCAAGGAAAACCCTACGAGACCAAAACCTTGGTAAGGGAAAAAGAGTACAACACGTATTTACTCCCTAATGAATATATCACTCAAGATCCATGCGTCGACGTAATCCAATCAGGTGCACTAACTTCTTGAAAGTTGCCGTTGGGAAGGCTTTGGTAAATAAGTCCGCAACATTGTCACTTGAACGAATTTGTTGAATAATAATCTCACCCTCTTTCTGGATGTCATGTGTGTACCAAAAGTTCGGTGAAATATGCTTTGTCCAATCTCCCTTAACGAATCTTTCCTTGAGCTGGTGGATACAAGCAGCATTATCTTCAAATAAGATAGACGGATGCTACTTTTCAAACCATAATCCACATGATCATCTAATATATCGAATTACACTTTTTAAGTATGCACATTCTCAGCTGGCTTCATGAGTGGCTAATAGCTCTACATGATTAAATGATGTTGACGCAATTGCTTGTTTCATGTAACGCTACGAATTTGTCCAACAATCTAATCCTTGATTGATCTAAAATCATAATTTTATAATCCAATGAGGCATTTCATTATGCACAATTTTATTTATAAATAATTGTATAAACAGTTAAACAATTAGCGCTGTTAACTGTCTTTCATCTAACCATATCAATTTCTACATTTTCCTTCATAGTTTCCCCCTTTCTCCTCCTCTACCCTGTATATTTTAGAGATATTCAGGCATGTGTTTCCTTTAACCTAATTTAATCAAATCAATCCCTTTTTAAAATATATATATCATATTCATGAATCTATAAATAAAAATATTCTCAGATGAAATATTATTTCTTAGTGTACCTAATCAGACAGAGAGGTATTAAAACGCGTAAAACATGTAATCATACGTTTCACTCCAATTAGCATCATAAGTAGTAGCACACAGGGGCGAACCCACCCTAGGGCTAGGGGGTGCCCGTGCCCCTGCGGTGATATATATCTCAGGTCCAGCACCTCCCGGTCCGAACGCCGTCCGAACGCCGTCCGAACACCGCCGTTTGGGGCGGTTCCAGATGAAATTTTTTGATGAAATTTTTTGAGCATGTTCCTCATCAAGTCTAGTTTATCCATACCAAATTGCAGGTCAAAATTCGACCGAGAAGGCAGTCAAATAATTCGTTGAATTAATTGCGTTTTTCTATGTATAATTTGGCGCAGTTAACTTCAACGAATTATTTGACTGCCTTCCCGATCGAATTTTGAGATGAAGTTTGGTATTGATAAACTAGACTTGACGAGAAACATGCTCAAAAATTTTCATCAAAATATTCCGCCGGGAACCACCCCAAACGCCGGTGTTCGGACGACGTTCGGAAAGAAAAGTGCTGGACAGAAAAGTTATGCCGATTGAAACTTATGATGTTAATATTAGAGATGAGTTGAGGAGACGTTATTTGAGAAAAGGTCATTGCCAACCGCGTGACTTTAAATTTCCACAAAGTGATTTTAATGAATGCAACAGATCATTCCAAAAACAGTGGTTTTATTTAAATTTTATAGTTTTGTTTATTGCTATACTCGTGATGCATATGATTTTTTCTAGACTAGTATATCATTTCTTTGTTATTGTGCCCCTGCGAGTCACGAGTCCTGGTTCCGCCACTGGTAGCACATGTGATGGTTTCTAATCTCCTGTAGCTTGGACTCTCATTTGATTATTTTTCAGAATGAAATCTTTCTGAAATACGTAGTAACAAATTACCTTCTTATCTCCCTTCTTATCAATTGATTGCCAACTACATTTGGGATTTTGGGGTAACAAATCCTTGGTTTTAAGTTTTAACTGGTATATGAAATAATAAAATTTCACTTCTTTTGCCAAAATCTTCATAACTGCCAAAATCCCTTCACCAGCACATCTGTTTTCAGATGTACCATGCTCACCAACTGATAGATCAACTTGAGAGTAGAGATCACAAAAATAAATTTCACATCTGTTTGGTACACATGGCGCTTCAACAAACTCAACGAGCTCAGACAACAATAAATTTCAAAAATATTTAAACTCTAACAAGCTTAAAAATCAAAATTGCGTCATCATCGGCTCAGGCAGACATCAATAGGGGGGCAAGCTTACACTGTTGTCATACGATTGAACTACCAAGAAGTGAAAATTTTGAATCTATAGTATCTTCCACTTGCGTTCCACAGCATTGGCTATCATAGATATACAGTATGCGGCACTAAGTGGATAATCTGAAACTGCAGCGATATATAAATATATATCACAATAATTGTTATCAGAAACATTGTTTTTGAAAAACAACATTGCAAACCATGCCACAAATTCTTTTATTTGAAACCAATTCCTGGAGAGATTGTATTTCCTTATATGCGTTATCCTACTGCAATCCTTTTTATGTTGATAGAAGTTGAAAGTATGTAGAGTTGGGAACTCGAGATTGTGACAATTCTATACTTTGACCAAAAACTAAATTTGAATTATCAAGTAGACTTTAGGACTACTTCAGATGATTTTGAAAAACAACATTGCAAACCATGCCACAAATTCTTTTATTTGAAACCAATTCCTGGAGAGATTGTATTTCCTTATATGTGTTATCCTACTGCAATCCTTTTTATGTTGATAGAAGTTGAAAGTATGTAGAGTTGGGAACTCGAGATTGTGACAATTCTATACTTTGACCAAAAACTAAATTTGAATTATCAAATAGACTTTAGAACTACTTCAGATGATTTCTCTAGCAATTCGAAGAAATCATAAGCCGTTCACTGTAATACAAATTTTTAGTGGTGTTTGTTTGTTATGTTTGGTTGGTTTTGGTTTTGAAAATGCAAAAGAAAATGGCTAAAGTTGGTTTTGGTTTGTTTTTCATCAGTGGTTTTAACATCTTCTGGTTGGTTTGGCTGGTTATTAAAGCCTAAACCTGCAACCATACATCATGCATGCTTAGATTGGTTTTGGACTTCAGGTCGATTAGATGAGTACAGCCCGGTCTTCATTTGTTTTGGCTCTACCTATTTCAATTTACTTGCCCTGTTTCATCAAGGATAGTTCGCTGGTATGGATGAACTTACTCAGTTTTGTGAATACAAATGTTAGACAATAGACAGTAGCCAGTGCAGCCAATAGAGCAATCAAGCAAGTAAAAAGCCTCTAACTCTGCTTCTTTTACTCATACTCACAATTTATCACAACTATGTTCCAGAACTGTGCAATTAAGCTACCAAGCAGGGCCTTAAATAGTTAAAATGTTAAAGTGATTTATAACGGATTTAGAACAACTCTGAAAACACCAACCCTTTGAAAGAAAATAAATAGAAGGTAACATTAACTTGGTTTATAAAAAAACAAGTAAGCAAGACAACATAGTCCATAATAATAGAGTTAGGAAAAGAAAAGGGCAATAGAAAACACATTACCTGAAACATAATCTTCAACGTAATCGTTACCAATTTTGCCATGGGACATTGCACCAAGCTGCACATTGCACAATGCAGTTTAAAAACAAATCAAATTAATACAACACAGCATGATGAATTTTTTTCTCATACCACAAAAACAAGGTTTGTATCACTGCCAACATTGTCAACATAGTTCTGAATGTCAACCAACTTCTCAGAACTGTGTGAAAAGCCTGTCAAATTTGATAGCAAAGTAACTAAAATTAACTGAACTTTCAATTGGGTAAGACTTAAGAGAGCAAGCTAAGGCTTCGTTTGGTAGGGTTATTTGGTTGAAATGAGTGAATCACTCGAATTTCATAAAAGAAAAGCTGCTGGTACTTGGAAGCATCCATTTCATCTAGTAAAGTTATTACGTAGTTATTAAGCTAATCAGGAGAATAAGCAGATCGTTGCTGCCAAATGTGGAGCCTGAAAGAGGGAGAAAGAGAGTACCAATTTTACGAGAATCTATGGGTAGATACTGTGTAACAGGATTCTTTATTACGCGGAGTAGTTTCTCTCTCTTCCCAACAGCCGTTATATTAAGCTTTTGAAGCAACTGCACTGAAATCATTCAAACATAAATAGAAATTGGAACAGAGAGAATAACCCTTTTAGATTGGAAATGAAAAGCTTATGAAACTAATAAAACAAAAAAATGTGGAAACCAACAAAAATGGGAACTTACATATGATACCAGAAAATCGCTTAAAAGTCCTAGGGATACGAACATGAGGTTTGACTTCAAAAAGGACACCTTTTTCTGTCTTCACATACAGAGCTTTCAATCTCCCAGCCTTATTTAACCGGCTGTCTAAAATCATAAGCATTGCCTAATAACATCAAGCCAGATTATCAGAAACGAGCTTAAATCATTATTTCCAGCAACACTCAAGGACACAGATTGACATAACCAACCTAAGCTCATCCTTTTTATATGGTAGAAGATTCAGACAAACTTTGATCGCAATAAACATTTCCTATTATGTTTCTTGCAAAATGAAGCGATTTGATCGCAAGATGCCAATAAACTAACAAAAAATATCATTTCTTTAAAAAAGGTCAAGACTTTAAGTCCTGAAACTGCGCGTGACAGCCATAACTACATGAAAAGAAACTGAACTAAACAAATATATGACCTTCAGCTCTTTCCATTCTCTGAAAACATTAACTGAGGCCGGCGAAAACTCTAACATAGAACACATCCATCTCAAAAAGTAAATATTTAAGCATATGTGCTAATTGCTAAATATGAATCTATATGTAAGCATCACTATTGACTGGAGTAACAAGCAAACCAATCGACTCAACTTTTACTCTCAATACCAGGAAACAATCCCACAGTCCCTTGTTCCTCTTCGCATAGCGTAATGATTTATTTGAAGGTTTTCAATCTTATATCACAAGAGAAAGTGGGGAATTTGCACCAAATGAGGCCATACCTTATATAAAGCTATGGTGTCGTACAAGAATGTGTCAACACTAATAATTAAACTTAATAAGGCCAAACAGAAACATTCAGTCATATGAGGTTCAATTGCAAAATTTGCTAACCTGATGAGCAATGTCTGGTCGATATTCAGCTGGGTTTAGGTTATTTCTCTTTAGAAATCCAGCATGCTCATCCGAGTTGAGAAGTTGGTATGTCTGTATCCCATTGTCAACCGCCAAATCAGAGAACTTAATAAAAGAGATACGGTTCAAGAAGTTCAGAGCATGGGAATACCTTTCCGATTTTGGCAATCTCCAATGAAGCCCTCTCTAGGATAAAAATGACAGAAGGTTTGTTGCTCTGTTCGGTTGAAACAACTGGTATACCAGGTAGTAAATTAACCACATTTTCTGCTTCCTCTTTGTCCTCCGCAGTAACCTCAGTTTTGGCCTTTTTAATGGCTTCCGTTGCTTCATCTTCCAAACACGGGTCAACTATTTCTTCCTTGTCATATTTCTCCTCTTTCTTTTTCCTCTTCTGCCCGTTGATCCTATAAGCATGAACCATTTTTTTCTGCTAAAAAATACTCCGTACAAACTTACGACAGGAACCGGAGGTGAGAATCGATTCTAAGGGTTTTTCTCTTTGCTACAATGGTGGACTTCTCAAATTTACAAACCTCCTACAGTTCTTCCAAAAAAAAACCCTCCTACAGAAGTCGACGATGAATGAATGCCGCCGATTCTTGTAGTCGCTATGGGCTACTGGATCAAGATTACTTTTCCTCCCCGTATAACGGGCCTTCTTAGTTCAACTTGTAACAGGCCTTATTTTCTTGAAAAGGAAAAAAAAATCAACCTCCTTTGCATTCAAAGATTCTCGCTTCTTTTTTGGACGTTTCTTTCAAAGGTTTTCATTTTCTATTTTAGAAAATAAATAACACTCTACGATAAAAAATAAATAAATAACACTCTTAAACAACAATATATTAATCAAATCTTAAAAATAACACATTTAAAACATCATATTTATCATCAATGAGCAATTATATTATATGTAGTATACTCATCAAAACTATTTCTCAAAATATACTAGAATTAGCATATTTAATTACTTCCTAAATAGTCAGACCATTTTGCAATGAGAACCTTTAAACGGGACAGAGGTAGTACTACGTATTTTAAAATATCAACCCTCTCAGCCCACCATTTTATTTGGCTACTACACATCTCCTCTTCCACCTTCTCAGTCGTGATGGTCATCCTCTCAGTCGTTCTATCATCTCACATCACTTTCCACCTTCTCCTCCAATTGTGTCACCCCACCTCTCCTTCATTTGAAGACTTAGGCTTCGTATGCAGTAGTGAAACTCCAATGGAGAGACTGCGGCACTAGTGAGAGCATCTCTCATGACTACGACATGGGGGTTTATGCTTTTAATCATCGTCTTGTTCTTCTTTTTTGCTCGTAATCACTCCAAGTTTGGCGCTACTTATCTCTTGAAGTTCGTTGCTGCTGAGATACACTACAGACAAATTCATATTGAGTAGATCAGTGATGGAAGTGGCTAAGGATTCAAATTTCATATATGAGTAATTTTCATAACAATGTTCATTAGGTGTCGGGATATAGAAATCTAGGGTATCATCTCCTTGATATGAATTCAAGTATCAAACACGTGAGATAGTCAAACTGGTAATTGATTGTCTTCATAACAACTAGACAACGATGGAAGTAAATGATAATTAAACTGGAAGAGAAGCACGGACATAAAAGAAACAATCATATGCTCAAGGATAATGGTCAAAGTAAGGAAAATATTCATCTAACAAAAGGAAAAAACACAAGTTCCCATATCACTCTCGTGATCAAGGAAGTGCTAAGGTCTTTTTCTAGTCACTCTCGTGGTCCAATAACAACCATAGTTATGGAATGAATAAAAAATGACAATTTAATCCCCTATCTCCTCCCACCGTCATGGATGGGAGGGAGTGTATGTGTATGTGAATGTGTCAAAAGGAACCATACAAGTCACCTTGAGGTCCAAAATAACATTTAAAAGTAACTTGGCCACCAACACATTAGAAATTCAAGTTGACATTTTTCATAAGCACATGATACGTATAAGAAATTTCTTAAATTTTTCCGAAATAAAACTCAAAACCTATAAAATCACATGAAATCCTTGATCCCACTATTCAATCACACTTGAATCCATATTCATAAATGAAATGCTAGACATGATCATCAAAGTAGGCAAGGAGGGTGAAAGAATAAACATAAAAAAATTAAGCAATCTAATGAATTAAACTAGTATAACAAAGATAAAATGCTATTTATACAAGGGGATGTAATGATAGTAGAACAAAGATTTTGATGTAAATAAGACTAAGAAATGACATCAAAGTGTGTATAACAAAAAACTAGTATTTGTGAGAGAATATCTCATCCAAATACAAGAGAGAATGCTATTTATACTAGGGGATAGACGAGGGAGCGTCCAGAGGGAAGGCATCCTAAAGGGAGGAATGTTAGGGTGAAGTTACATTCCCCTTGGGAGTTCCTCCTTCATTACAAGATTTTTCATAGACACAAAGTTAAATGGTGCGAGTAATGGTGACTAAAAGCTCTGATGAAATGCACTCAAATCTCTATTCTAATCACTCACACTTGGCTAATCTCTCTAATCTTAATTTTTTATTAATTTCAATTAACTTATTTTAAAAATTAAGATTATTTTTCTTATCGTTTGAATTCAAGTGAGTGTATTGAATATGGATTGTGCTGGACTTTTTTTAATTCATGGACTTTTAAATCCATAGACTTTTTTATGAATGAATTCTATTGATTTTTAAAGTCATGGATAAGTTTATAGATTTTCAAAAAGTCCATAGACTTTTAAATCCAGACCGTCACTACCGACCTGCCTTTCCACCTCCGTCACCGGAGTTCGCCGCCGTTGTCATCGGACTGATCCGTCACCTATAAAATGACTTTGGTTATGCAAAAGAATTAGGGGAAATTAATTATATTGATTAATTAAATTAGGAGTAAAATTGGTATATTTAGTCCTATTTAAGGAAAATCAAACATATGATCATACTTTGGCGAAAATGTTACTACCTTCGTCCCAAATTAGAATAGTTAGCCAAATAAAAAAACGGATCAAGGTTTTGATAGTTAGTATAATATTATAAAAGTTATAAATTTTATACTTTTATGAAAGTACTTTGAACAAAGAATATTTTCGTATCATTTTTATAGTATAAATAATTTCCAATAAATTTATATAATTTGTCAAAGTTTTAAATTTGGCTAATTATTTTGGGACATAGGTAGTATGTTTTAGTCCTACGTGAGTAATTTCCTCTGTAAAATATGATAAGAAAAAAATAAATAAGTAAATGAAACAAATGTAATTCATCTAGCAACGTAGAATTCTACAAGAATAAATGAAGCATAAGAATTCAAATTTATTTTTATTAAAAAGAAAACTCAAAGTTTCAAGAATGCTCAACAATCTCGGTCTATTTGTGGAAGAAATTACCAAATTACGGGAATCTACCGTCTGACAAGCCAAAATACGGGAGTTCCGTTTAGGTTACCAAATTACGGTAGTCGGAATTGGCAATTCCGACTGGAGGAGAAGTCCCGATTTAGGGTTGAAACCCTAGTCGGAATTGGGCAATCCGACTAGAGGTAAGTGCCAATTTAATCAAAAAACCTAGTCGGAATTGGGGAATCCGACTAGGGTATTTTTGATTTTTTTTTAAAATAATGGGTTAAAGCGGATAAAATTTATTAAAAACCTAGTCGGAATTGGGAAATCCGACTAGGGTATTTTGATATATTTTTTAAAAAATGACGTGTTTAATTGTGGTTCGAACATTTTACCAACCAACTCGTATATTTGGGAGTTTTGTTTTCATTTTATTGTTTGCACTACGTGTTTTATATGGTCACCGTACGTACCCCAATAGCTCCTATAAAATGAGTTCATTTCTTTTCAAAATTTTCACTCCAAAAAATAATCCTTCTTTCTCTCTTGATATATTTATTACATTTTCTGTTTAGGCATTCTTCTCTCATATAAAAATGTCTAGTGAGGGAAATATTGTTGTTATGGTTCATTGGAATGGCTCTACATCTCAAAAAGATGATGAAATAGAGTACTCCATACCTCCTAGGGCGGTACTATTCATTAGTGAAGCAGATGATTATATTACTATACATGAGAATGTTCTAAATCATGTTAGAAGCGACAGATTTTCCGAAATTAAATTAATTTACGGAAAATTGCCAAAATATAAGAATTCTGTATATGTTGCTTCTAGACTATGGCCCATTCACGATGAGCAGACATGGCGTCATTTTTTCCGGATCGCTAAAAATGAGTATGAGGAGTTGCACATTTACGTGGAAGCTTCAGCGACCCCGCCACAAACTTTGACGTTCCACGGAACTCCCAGAGAGGAAGGCCCATCATCCGTATATGGTCGGAGGAACAACCGCCAAACGTTTCAGAACTACGAATCTCCTGGTATGTGTTGTTCAAGTTAAATAGAATTTACAATGATTTAGTTTTATTTGTTGTCATTTTAAGAGTGTAGAAGTAGTTAATTTAGTAATTTGTAAATTTTTTAATTTTGATTGTTAAATAGGAATTTCAGAGTAAAAATTGGCTATCTGTCTGTCTCATCTGCACAAATTCAATACTTCTATCTAATTACACAAGAAACACATTCTAGTTCAAATAAATGAAATAACCGGAAGTGGAAGTGGAATTTTAAAAAAAATTAAAATTTTATCTCCTGTCGGAATACCCAAATCCGACGAGAGCACAAAAAGTTTTTATTATTCAAATAAACTTAAAATTTGTATATAGCGCATAAAATTTCAAAACTCCTGTCGGAACACCCAAATCCGACCAGAGCACAAAAAGATTTTATACTTCAAATAAACTTAAAATTTTTATATATTCCGATAACACTACAAGATTTTTTGCGTTTTACTGTCGGATTATCCGACACTAAATCTGTCAGTAAACGCTTTGATGTCGGATTTTAGTGGCGGATCCTGCCGTCGCTAAAATCTGGACATTAATCAAATTAGCGTCGGATAAGCTCGGTAGACGCAAATCAGACACGGAATTTAGTGTCGGCTATTCCGTCACTAATGTTTGTGTCAGTTATTCCGCCACTAATATCCGTCAATGATTTATTTTTGTGAAACTAGGATTTTTATTTAATAAAATATAGTTTTATAATATAAATACAAATTCTTTTTAAAATTCGTAATTTTGTATACAAAAAAACGTAGGTCTGCAATCCACTACTAATGTCCATCATTGATTTAAGTTCTTATAAATAAAATCTTTTAAATAACATATACATATACATGTTCAACAATATAAATTCAATTTAATAATTATAAAAAATCTGTATACTAAAAATGTAATAATAAAATCTAGAGACAAATAAACAAAACACATAGCAACCATATTCAACACATATTATTACATACTTTGGTCCAAAACTTGCTAAGAAATAAAAACATTCATCATTAATCAATTCATAGTGAAATTTAACAACTTGAAATAGAAACGAGATAGTAAAATTAAACTTAACACGAATCTAATGACAAACTAATGAGAACATGATTCATCAAGACTGTCTCCCGAGTCTCTAGAGGATTCCGATGTTGCAAAGAAAGTGGGCGCATCAATCCCTATTGATTTTAAAAATGGAAGCCATGTTTGTTCAAAGTTCTTAGACTGTGAATCGGGCTCCTCGTCTTGAACAAGATCATCTACAATTGGCATAACTGGGGGGCTTCATCACCCTCTGAAATTAACACCTCCCTCATGCGTGCATCCCAATAAACACAAAATTCACGCATCCTGCGAGCTCTTGAAGACAAACGTTCTGTACTTGACTCATTTACATGATGAAGGAAAGCTTCTGAATAGCTGCCAAGTCCACCAACTCTCATCTTTTTGCACCCAACAACTTCCAAGTATTTGGAAGACAATTTAGTTGATGAGATCTTGGGTGTTGTTGAACTTTCTTCTTGACTTGAAGGCTGAGACTGTTGTTGGAAATCATCTTGACAAGCATTATACAATTTACTCAAAGCATCCTATACAAGAAAAAATAACAAACTTAAGTAAATCTGCACAAAAAAATAACAATAGAATCTGCCATATGCCACTTTTTACAGATTTTGACCTAAAATATATACTAGGATAAGTTCTGCAGAAAAGAGGAACTAGGCAAGCATAGCATACCATGTTTAGACTAGAAGAGTCTATAATAGTGTAACCATCAAACCTAGTTGAGGAAGCAAGCACCACTGCTTTCAACTTTTATAGTGTAAAATATTTCCACATCAAAAAGCAGTCTTATATTCAATACAAAGTGAATTATTTCTATTCTAATGCAGACCTGTCCACGATATGAATACCATATTACGTATAAATTAAGGCCTCTCAAAGATTGATGTCTTCCTGCACTTCAATTAGCCATCAAACTTTTATTATTACATAAAAAATGAAAAATCATAAAATACACCCCTCTAACTTGTGTGGCTAGCTTAATTTAGTATCTTTTTTTAGACCATGCTCTCAACGAGAACAACTTTAAAGGGACTGGAATATTAGTTTGTAACTAAAACAGTTGAAAATTACATAGAATATGCAGACTACGGAAGGAGATAGGTAACTCATCACAATCTAATTTAGACTTAAATCTAATTGTCTTTTTAGTATATAACAAATTATGTTTAAAGCAAACTAAAAAGAAACGTAACTACATACCTTCACCACATTTTGTGAGGGACAAGTAATAAGCTCTCCATTCTTCCTTTTCTCTGGATGATAAATACCATACATCTTCACAGGGTTTATGTGTTTGCCAGTGGCTCTCAACTAAAATAAATACTCAAAATCAAATAACTATGATGAATTAAGTAAATGTACGACAGATATGCTAACATCAACTTAAATTTCAACCTCTTGTGTAGCTAAATCAATAGCGGATTGAGACCCTCCGTATTGCTTACACCTATCTCCACCTGCAATGCGATTTTTTTTACCAGACTTTGATGCCTTGACAAACTGTATAGACTTCTTAAATTCTTCAACAACAGACCAAGTGAAATCATTCACAGTTGGATGTCGAGTTTTCCTTGAAAGTTTGAATTAGTTAGATAAACAAATTAAGTAAACCATGTATGTTGACAGAAAAAATGAATATTCAAACAAATATGAAGCATTTATTTTACTACCTTAATCGAGTCATGATTTTGGAGTAGGCTTGTTTTTTCAAATACTTTAGATAACCGGCTTTTATTTGTTCATCACTGAACTGCTCACTATCCCAAGTAACTAACCTCTGTGAAATGAAAATAAGTTATTTAAGAAACAAATTATATGAAAAAATGATTTATTATAGAAGAAAATGATTTATTTTAGAATTAAAATTACCTGGAACTGATCCCAATAAAGGTCTTTTGTTCTCGTTGGTACCCATTGCCATCTTTGGCCAGCCGGGTGCAAATTATATGTGATTTGCCTACCCACAATTTTCTGAAATTTTAAACTTGTTTGGTTGATAACTATGTTTGTTAGGCTGCATTTAAATTGTGTGAGTTAGTTTACATAGTTACAGAGAAGTTAAAATAAAAAAGAATGTATAAAAGTAGTAAGGGATATAAAGTTCAAATTTAGTGACGGATATATCCGTCTCTAATTGTTGACGGATAATTCCGACACTACTATCTGCCACTAATCAGTGTCTATCACATATCCGTCACGCTTTCCGTCACCAAACAGTGGCGGCTTTAATCGGACGCCAATTGTTGACAGATGACCATCCGACATTAAATCCGACACTAATTACCGTCCAATTTTATATCGGACACAAAAATCCGACAGTAATTTCCGAATTTCTTGTAGTGTAAATTAAAACCAAAAAATTCAAACCATAATTTTATTTTATTTTAGATAGTGTGTTACAAGGAATTGTGTTCAATTCTAGAAATTCAAGAATTGTGTTAAATTAATAATTTGTCCCAAATAATAATATTGAAATTTATGAATGTATCTACTTTGTACAGTCACAAACTTGGGTGAAGAGTCGGATGACCCAGACTATGAACAAGGTTTTAGTAGTGATGTCGATTCATCCACGAGCGATGATAGTGACGACGTAGTAGACACCACCTGGGCTAATGTGGAGCTAGAAGAACCATATGTTCAAGGATTAGATTCTGAGCCTGAAAGGATCGAAGTAGGCGCAGTTTACTGTTCATATGATGCACTGAAAGAAGCGGTGGCGAGAGAAAACATTCGTCAATTTCGTCAATTCAGAACGGTTGACAAAAGGCCACGGTCCTGGAAGGCGGTTTGCATAGACCCGACCCTTTGCACTTGGCATATCCAAGCAGGAGAAGGTATGACGTCAAAAAAGTGGAAAGTAAAAAAATATCAACCCCATCACAGTTGTAGGGAGGATCCTGTCATGGCTCGGGATGACAGGCTCCTAACGGCCAAAATTATAGCCAGTGAAATCGCTCCAAAAGTGAAAGTCGACCCGGACTACAGCATTAAACTGATAATGTCAGACATATATGAAAAATTTAATATCCGTGTTTCATATAAAAAAGCTTGGAATGGACGCTTGATCGCTCTGGAGCGTAAATTCGGCAATTGGGAGGCATCATATAATGAACTTCCTATGTTGTTGGAATCTATACAGTTTTCAAATCCGGGGACTGTTGTTCATTTGCAATCACAACAGGCCGGCACTCCTGATACGTCTGAATTCCGCCGAATGTTCTGGTCATTCAAGGCTTCTATAGACGGTTTTAGATTTTGCTTACCCGTAGTCTCGGTTGATGGCACTCACTTATATGGCAAATACAAGGGAGTTCTTCTAGTTGTGGTAGCCATGAATGCTAACCGTGAGATATTTCCTCTTGCATATGCTGTTGTTGAGAGTGAGAATGCTGACAGCTGGTCGTGGTTCTTTGCAAGGGTTATGCGTGATGTGGTTGGAAATCACCGTAGTGTGTGCATTATCTCTGATCGTCATGCAGGAATTGAAAGTGCATTTAGAGCCTTGCGAGAGTTGAGATCGCCACAAGTTTCAAAGCGTTATTGCCTCCGTCACATACGGAGTAATTTCATGACCAAGTTTAGGAACGCGGAACTGAAAAAATTATGTTGGCAAGCTGGTAGCACTCCCACAGAACAGGAATTTCACGACTGTATGCAACAAATACGAGACATAAATGAGAGTGCTTTTCTATATTTGAATGAGATTCCTGTTGAGATGTGGGCCCTGAGCTATGACGATGGCAAAAGATATGGCATTTTGACGACAAACCTTTCTGAAAGTTTTAACAATGTCTTAAAGGGATGCCGCACATTGCCTATCACAGCACTAGTAAAGGCCACATTCGATAAAGTCGTCCAACTATTTGCCGATCGACGAAATGCGGGAATAATGTGGCACCAAGCTGGATTCTTGTATCCACAGAACATATGGAAGGATGTTCTTGAGCGGTCACAGCGTAGGTATCACACAACTATTGTCCCGCACAATCGAACAACGGGAATTTACTCTGTAGCTATTGGTTCGCATGATCCAGTGACAATCGATCTGACAAGGCAGGAATGTGGGTGTGAGTATTGGAAGCAGAACGGGATGCCATGTGTTCACGCGTATGCGGTTTGTCGGTTTTTAAAAATAACCGTAGACAGCCTCATCCCAGCTGTGTATTCCTTAAATGCTTACATCCGAACGTACACTTCCGATATTATGCCTATTAATAATTACCTCAATTTCATGGCAGAAACATCGCATACACTTCTCCCGCCCCCAAACAATAGATCGGCCAGAGCCGGTAGGCCACAGAGAACTCGATTTCCTAATGAAATGGATTTGCGTGCTACAAGGAGAGGACATGAGTAATATTGTAATGTATACCTTGTTGGGTTTTTTGAACTAATGAAATATTTGTTCTCTTTTTCGGGTGTTTTACCAAAACACGTGAATTCTCAACATGTGTTGCCAAAATATGAGGAAAAAGTTAGGTTTTCCCAAAAAGCGGAAGTCGAAATTGGGTATTCCGACTACATGAGTATTCCTGTTAACTATAAATTAATATATCATGCATATGTTGAATTATGATTATTATGAATGATTATATACACATAGTATATAATTTGAAGGTTTAGTAGTAATATGTGTTTGCGTATTCAATAGATAAATAATTCCTTATTTTTTTTAATATTCAGGCACAATGAATAGAGAAAACATAAATTGGATGTATAATCAATATGTTGGCAATGGTAGAGGATTGACACAAGAGTTTAAGAATGGAGTTATTGAATTTTTTAAGTTTGCACAACAACTATAATTAGATAAAGTTTAATCAGATAACTATAATCAGATAAGTTCAGTCAAATAAAATTTAATCAGATAAATATAATCAGATAAATTTAATTACATAAAATGTAATCATATAAATATAATCAGATGAGTTCAATCAGATAAAATTTAATGAGATAAATATAATCAGATAAGTTCAATTAGATAAAATTTAATCAGATAAATATAATCAGATAAGTTCAATCACATCAAAATTAGATAATTCCATATTTATTCCACATTTGTACAAAAAATAAACTCTAAACCACCAAAGAAACACAATAAGGGCTCGGATCCCTATCGCACGGCTGTTATCAAAAGAGGAGGGGCTTGGATCGGAATCGGAGGGCTGTAAACGGATACCTCCAGTCAGATTTTGAAGATCCGACAACAATAAAAGTTTAAAAAAATTGTTTTATGGATACTAACTTTATCAGCTACTATCACACGGTTCAAGGAAAAGAAGAAGAAGTGTGGACCACTACTTACTCAACACCAACTTTTATTTAATGGATTCATTCCTCCTTGCTCCAACTCAATACCAATATAGAAGTGTGGACAACTCAATACCACTAATTACTCAATACCACACGGATCGTACTGCTCATTGCTCCAACTCATACCAACTTTTATTTAATAGAAGTGTGGACCACTCAAGAACTCCCAACTAATTTTTTTTATATAAATAGAGCCGAGCCAGTTGGATCAAGAATCCCCACTTAATCCCAAGCAAGAGCACCTACTAGCAAATTAAAATTTGTGATCTGCCAAATTTCCAGGTTAGTTAATTTTCGGTTTTAGAAGTGTAGAAGTAGTTAATTTAGTAATTTATAAATTTTTTAATTTAGATTGTGAAATTGGACTTTTAGAGTAACATTTAGCTCTAAAATACTTGAAAGTTAGAAAGTGTGTAACATTTAGAATTTCCCTTAAATTTCGGTTTTAGGAGTGTAGAAGTAGTTAATTTAGTAATTTGTAAATTTTTTAATTTACATTGTGAAATTCGAATTTTACTCTTTAATTTTAACTTTTTATTATTTATAATAGTTGAAATTGTAGATGTTTAGAAATTGCGTTAAATTTAAATAGTCGAATTTAAGATTTTAATTTGGCAATTATAGTTATTTCGAATTTCAAAATTACTAGTTATTTTGGTAACTTTTAAGATTTTAATTTAGATTGTGAATTTAGAATTTTACTCTACATTGTGAAATCGGAAGTTTAGAGTTGTACTTAGCTATGAGAGGTATGGAGTACTCTAGATAATCATCTGCTTCACTAATGAATCCCAAGCAAGAGCACCTACTAGCAAATCAAACCTTTGTGATCAGCCAAATTTTCAGGTTAGTTAATTTTCGGTTTTAGAAGTGTAGAAGTAGTTAATTTAGTAATTTATAAATTTTTTAATTTAGATTGTGAAATTGGACTTTTAGAGTAACATTTAGCTATAAAATACTTGAAAGTTAGAAAGTGTGTAACATTTAGAATTTCCCTTAAATTTCAGTTTTAGGAGTGTAGAAGTAGTTAATTTAGTAATTTGTAAATTTTTTAATTTACATTGTGAAATTCGAATTTTACTCTTTAATTTAAATAGTCGAATTTAAGATTTTAATTTCGCAATTATAGTTATTTCGAATTTCAAAATTACTAGTTATTTTGATAACTTTTAAGATTTTAATTTAGATTGTGAATTTAGAATTTTACTCTACATTGTGAAATCGGAAGTTTAGAGTTGTACTTAGCTATAAAAATCTAGAAATTTAGAAATTGTGTTACATTTAGAATTTGAGTTAAAATTCGATTTTATGACGTTACAAGTTGTTACTTTAGTAATTTTTTATTTTTTGTGTTAGGTTGTGAAATTAGAATTTTAGAGTTCAATTTAGCTATAAATATCTACAAATTTAAAAATTGTGTTACATTTAGAATTTGTGTTAAATTTTGAATTTAGTAATTTATAACTACTTATTTTAGGAATTTCAAATGGAGCAAAACATTCCGCGCCCAGGGCTTGTTAACCGTTCACTACTCACGTTGCCACTGCGTGCCCATCGTGCGGACCGTATATGGTATGAACCGAATTCCAAAGATTCGTGCTTGAAATGCGTCAGTTGCCCTTCAGCTTCATTCGGAGTTGAAGAGCGAGATCCAAGAGTGATAGGTATGTTAGCATATGCTGGCTTCTTGGGGGTAGAGCACATTGCCCGTATGAAGATGGATCATAGTTTAATATGCGCTTTGGTGGAGAGATGGAGGCCGGAGACACATACTTTCCATCTTCCATTCGGTGAGGTCGGCATTAGTCTACAAGATGTGGCGATGGTCCTTGGTTTGCCCATTCGGGGTATGCCCCTCAGTGGTCCAACCGTTAAGGGTAAGGCTCAGTGGATCGACCTGTGCACGCAGTCGTGTGGTTTCACTCCTCTAGAGATTGATATGCGCACGAGTGATATCACCATGAGTGCTCTTACCCGTTACCAGATCCTACCTGACAGTACAGACGAAGAGGTCACCGAACACACCAGAACCCTAATATGGCAATTGCTTGGAGGCCTTTTATTCCCTGACACGAGTGGGACAAGAATACGATTATACTTTTTGGAGGTCTTGCAGGGTGACTTGGCTTTAGCCCGTCGATGGGAGTTGGGGATCAGCGGTTCTCGGGTACCTCTACCATAACTTGTGCAACGGCGCCAAGTGGGAAACCAAACAAGTTGGCGGTTGTATGCACTTGTTACAAATTTGGGCTTGGTCGAGAATTTCGATGGTCCGTCCCTCAGTAGTTCAGGTCATTCAACATGACCATCTTCCATATGGGTGCAGGTATGTTGGCAATTACATCTTAATAATTGAGAATGCGTTATATGACGTTAGAGTTTTTAAATTCATTTCGGTAATAAATAAATGTAGGTGGATCGTCCCCAAGTCATATAAGGGATCCCCAAGACACTGCATACGCCTATACCGGGATGACCTAGACCGAATGAGTGAGAGTCAGGTAGTACTTCAAATTTTTACTTCCACCGTACTATTCAATTTCTAATACACATTGTTTTATAGTGGTTAAATTGCAAATTAAAATTTTTACAGTTTGATTTCACTCCCTACGCGTCCGAAGAACTCCCACCTATCATCCTTAATGACGCTCCGCTTTGGTCGGCTAGGGTCATGCTCATATTTTGCAATATGGCCGAAATGCATTACTCCGATCGATTTCTTCGGCAGTTCCATATAAGGCAAGATACTCCGGATGCTCCTTTGGCGGGTACTGATCATCACGGCAATCGTTCCAACATAGTAACCGGTGCCTTGGCGTTGTGGGCGGACATACAACATAATATATACTTTCTTGATTATGATCGACATATGTCCGTCGAAGCAACTAAGAGGTACCGAAAATGGTACCAGAAGCATGGTATGACACGTGTCCAGAACCCTTCTCACAATGTGCCCACGACAGGCTACATCCCGACATCACACGATTGGGGTATTGTGGTAAGTTTTTGAATACATACTATATTCATTAACATGTATCGTGTCATATTATTTACACGTGTTACATTTTTATGCAGAGGCAGAGCTTTTACGAGCTGAATCAGCTCTTAGCCGACCGCGCAAGTCATGAGGACTGTCAAAAACGACTACAGCGGATGGCCCTGGACGTAGGTGATGAAGAGATGCTCCGCCGGGGCATATTCCATTATGAAGATGAAGATGAAGATGAAAGTGGAAGTGACGAAGAGGATGATGCAGATGAACATGAAGGTGGGGGTGAGCACTCACAATCGCCCCCTCAATTTTCAACACGTGAGGGTGTCTCATTTGATCAACCACCCCCTCAATTCTCAACGCATCAAGGTGTCTCATTTGATCAACCACCGCCGTATTATGATTCTTATCAGTACTCCACACAAGCGGTTGATTATGTTGATTCATTTCTGGATTCGTCGTCGTTTTACTATGGAGACACAATGGGGCCTTTGAACACTAGCGGTGGGGACGGAGCAGGGCCGAGCACGCAACGTTAGTTGTAGTATCATTAAATTTATATTATTGTATGTACTATCTATTTATTAATAAATTACATTGAAACCTACATTTGTTTTGTTCACTTTCATTAAATTTACAAATCACATTTAAAACAAATTCAAATTTGTATCTCATTTTATGAATTTTATTCACAATACAAATGGATTTAAAAAAATAAAATTAAAAACTATAACTTTAGGCCAATTTAAAAATTAAATTGGCGACTAATTAAAAAAAGAGAAATTCGGCCAATTTAAAAATTTAAACATGAATGAAATTGGCCAATTTAGTTTAAAACTTTAGTTGGAAATTAAAAACTTTAATTTAAAAAATAATAAAAACTTCCTAGTTGGAAGTGGTAGATCCGACATGAGAGAATTTAAAAGTTTAGTTTTAAAAAACTTTGAAAATGAAAAGCGGCCAAAAATTAAAAAAAAAAACCCCGTCGGAATTGGCTAATCCGACCGGAGGGAGGAAATTGTTTTTTCGAAACCCTAATCCCTGGTCGGAAGTTGCAGTTCCGACTCCCATATTTTGGTAAACGCTACATAAATCCCCGTTTTTTAGCAAGTATATCCCACTTTTCCCGTGTTTTGGTAAAACACCCCTATTTGTGATCAATTGTTATATTATACAACTGATAATTTATCTTGCATCAAGGAAGAAGCACATTAATCGTTACACTCATTGCTACATGTGGTACAAGCATATGTGCAGTCGAACTTTTCTTCTTAATAATTGTTTTCTTTTCACTTTTAGCTTGTTAAATTTTGTACTTATTTACGGTTAAATATTTATTAATTTGAAATTATATTTTTATATGTTAGCGGTTAACGATGAAACACATTAATAGTCAAAACATTTTTTTTTCTTAATGTATGATTAACCGACAACGTACTAGAATTGCACCGATGTAGTATTATCGATTTTTATATCGGTTCTTCTAAAAACTTCTAGAACCGAATCGATAAGGGATTAATCGTTCTTAAAATGTTCCTAATTTTCTTTCAAGAACTGAACCGATCTCACCCCTACATTTTTCATCATAAGACGACATATGAAATATCACTTTTTAATTTTTTTAAGCTTATCTTGTGTATACATATTAATGTATATAGAATCTCCTTGTTCAACTCTATTTATGGTAAAATAATAAAAAAAATCAAAATTCAATGTTCAGGTTTTTCATAATGAGACCATCCTGGTACCCATTCCCCGACCCGGCCGGTACTAGTCCAAGACTTGTTGGACGGTTTGTGATCTCGGGCAAATGATTAGCTAAATCTGCAACTAGATCTATGCATACTTGTGACATGTAGAAGACAATAGAAAAGTTCACGAAAATCTTTGGTGAGAAGAATAGACAATTGTAGAGATATAATGTACTAAGAATGAGTTAAAAGTCCACGAGAATCCATGATTTTAGAAGTCAATAAGAATGAACGGAAGTTTAAACACGACTTGACTCTTATAAACCCTTTAAAAGTCTACATTGAATACACCTAGACCCTTGTAGACTTTTAAAAATTCATATTGAATACACTTATACACCTAAACTTTTAAAATCCCTTAACTTTTAAAATTTGACCACTGATTCCTAAATGATACCGTGTATGTCATTTTTAAAAAATGTTATGTTTACCTTAAATGCATTACATCTTTTAACATTTTAAAATTGGCATGTTTTTATGTGTGCAAATGTCATGTTTTATACGAAAATGTCATGATTAGTTTAGCACGGTACTCATCATTTTTCAAATTGATAATTTCACCGGAGAAGGCGAGGAGGTGGCAGCACAAGAGGAAGGGGCGCCAATGTAAGATGACGCGGCAGCTTTGCCAGAGGGTGGAGATGATGGTGTCACTGGAGGGTGGTTAGAGGCGGTGGTCTCACCGAGGGCAGCCTCCGCCGCAGGCGGTGGTGTCACCGTAGGCCGGGTGGTGGTGGTGGTTTTGTTGGACATTGGTGCCGCCATTAGAGGCACCGTAGTAGTAGCCATGGGAAACACGTTATTGTTGCTAGATCGAAGGACTGTTTTATATTTTTTAGTATATTTTCATTAAGGATAATTTGTTCTAGTCAACCGTTATTATATGAGGGGTATTTATAACAATGGGATGAATTTGGAAGATCGAGAATCGGGATGAGGGGTATTTATAACAATGGGATGAATTTGGGAGATCGAGAATCGGGATGACCGTTCCCATCAATTAGCTATCAAATAAGGAAAAACTTTTGATACATATAAATCGTACACATTTTGTACACACTCCCTAATTGCATATATGTGTACAGAGCCAATTCATTCAGAAGTTGTATGTGTAGAACCTAATTATAAGATTGGACACAAAGTGTTTACCATCTAACTTATGTGTACATCCATCATCCCATACTGAGCACTATGTTGGTTCTTCATCGGGCTGGAGACGATGGAGGGTGATGATCAGCTCCTTCTTTACAAGTCTTGTAGATTAGTTTGGCTGCTGGTGGGGCTCTCACCATGCCAGGCCCGTAAAGCCATTATGCTTCATGGGCCCGCCCAAATGCTTGAAATGAAGTGGGGATTCATGAAATAGGCTCAAACCATATATTCTTGGAGATATGTACAAGAACCTAACAATTTTGATGAAAAGTTGTAGATGTGTGATGAATATTTATCTCATTTTGACAAGTAACGGTGTAAGATAATGAAATATATCTACAAAAAAAAAGTAGGCATTGATGGAGACTGGGTTCACATAGTGCGGCAATCAATTAGGCAGTGTAGGAATGAATGTGTACTACAACTATTTGTTTTAAAAATCTCAATTCTCAACGCCACATCGTCCACATACCACAATTGAAAAAAAATCAATATACCCGCACATGTAGCTCAGTTGGTTGAGTGGAGGGAAATTTGGATCAAGGGATCAATGTTCGAATCCTGCAGCGACCGTGTGGAGGTTACTGCTTCTGAAATGGACTGGACCTCTAGCGTGACGGGTATATGAACCTACTGTCACTTCGTTGACTGAGTCACCGTGATTTACATCCTCCCACGTGTCCTGTCGGATCGGGTGTAGGGACTCCGGGGGTGGAAGATTGGATGGATCAAAGAAAAGAAATTAATGTTTAGCCCAATGAAACTTTTGTTTTGACTGAAATGGGCGATCCTATAGAAAAACGGAATATAACTGTTACTCCGTATTTAATTAATAAAAACATGGAGAAAAGATGCAAGTTCCCTCCTAATGTTTATTTTGGGATGCCATTTTATATTTACAATACATATTCGCTCTAATTGGCCGGTCTTAAATACTTAACTAAGAGTAAATAATACATGTTTTACCAGAATAATTGATATCATAGTTTTGTGCTAATTATATACGTACTTGTTTCTTTATTATATATTACCTCCGTCCCGCAAGAAGTTCTCACTTTCCTTTTATAGATGTCTCAGAAAGAAGTTCTCATTTCTATAAAAGAAACCACTTTTAACAAAAAAGTCACAACTACCCTTACTTTTTATCCACTTTTTGTTTGAATTGACATAAAGTAAGAGTATATTTAGAAAGTCAAAACAAAACTTTACCTTACATAAATATGTGTGTAGGTCAAACTAGGAACTTCTTTATGGGACGGAGCAAGTAGTTTTGAATAATTTATCTTTTTCATCGCAAATAATAAGCATATAGCTTAGTTTAAATAAAATAAACTTTTGTTTTTCTTTTATCATTTCCCCCACTCAACATATTAATGAATTATTTTTGATGATGTTAACACATTTTAAGCATTTAAAATCAACCATGGTTAATTAATTTACGCTATGATACAAAAAATGTATTTTATTACACCTGAAACATTATGGTAGACACGTATCTACACCTCAAGATAGAAATTAAGGGCGCATTTACATATTTCGTTTAATGTGTTCTAAAACGGGCGGGATGATCTTTTTCATACGGAACCGATCTCAAATGGGACAAGATCAATTTACACTTTTAGTATATCACATGTACTTAAATGTACAGTTTAATTATATACCCCATCTGTCCCCGAAAATTGATTTTTTTGATCAATGACAATCAACTTTGATCAATTATATTTTTATACCTAATTATTTTGAATATGAAAATTATATCAAAATGTTCCTTATTCAAAATATTTTCATAAAAATATACTCGTAAAACTTATCAATAATATATAAATATAATAGTTAAAATCATTGTCTAAAGTTTGTCATCATTGACCAAGAAAAGTCAATATGACAAACCTTTTCGGGACGGATGTAGTATATTTTGATATTTTTAAATATTTATTAAAAAAAATGCAAGCCTTCTGATCTATTATTAAATCTATCTATTTGTATTTTTTATTATTTTTCTTTATTAGTTATTAGACACACAAAGTTAACTACACTTATTAGACTATAGTTACTACTATACCTACTACATTTAGGAGGTTACATTTCTTAAAACAATCTGAATTTTAGTTAATTATTTTTCTTTATTATATGAAATGTTTATCAAATTTTTTCAGATCGTTAATTAGGGGTACTAATTCTTTAATCTTTACCACGGAATAATCTGCCGTCGGTCCAACGTAACGTTCATAAAGTGTAAACTAAAAACCTTCATCGTCCCAACTGCATCGGATGAAGGGTGTAGTTGATGGTTACAATCAATTCATTTCCCAACAACCCAGGCATGTCATCATTTATTTCATACTTGAATATATATGGAGGCATCTAGATCAGATATTTTTATTTTTGTTTCTATGGCATAAATGTGCAATTATTTGATGTTAATATATGCGTTCAAATGTAATTTGGTTATTTCCATTTATCTATATATGCTGTAAATTAAAGGTTGCTATCACGTGCAATTCACCTATTGGCTATTAATATTTAATTTAGATTCTTTGTATTTGAAGCATTGGCTTTTAGTGATACTTTCTTTTAAAGTAATATAGGTTGTTTGAAGCTTGATTCTAATTATCACAATAGTTTAAGTTTTCAAATCATAAACACATAGGTTAACCTCAATCAGGGGTGGAGATGGTGGAGAGCCTTGATTCACTCCAAATTTAAAAATGTCTTCATGTTTAAAGTAACAAATTTTGTGTAAAAGTTTTTCAAAAAATATTATTTGTATCGATTCAATCTAGTCTAGTGCACTTATTACGCCCCTGGTCTTAATCCATACAAATCTTTACTTTGTTAACCTAATAGTTATTATATATATATATATATATTCCCTCCGTCCCAAAAACAACTTCACAGTCACTATTCATTGGTCAACTTGAATCACGTCTAATCTTTTATTTTATATATCAATTTTTTATCAAATTTTAATTTTCTTGATCTGGCTTTGTAGCGGTTTTAATGTAGTACCTGAATATGTAAATTTTATTTACTAAAAATAATTTGAGTGTGAACAAGGATCGTGTTGCTTTATCGTTAGTCAAACATCGTAAACCAAAGGGGAAGTTAATTTTGGAACCGAGATAGTATAAAGTATGGACCTGGCCGGATACACTTACGTTTAGCAAATAACCTATGAACTTATAAGTCAAGTGTTGAAAAAACTCGAAAAAAATAACATGTGCTCCGTACATAAGAACTACGGAGTAGTAGATACTTTATAGTAAAAAAATCCAGTTTTTTCGCAGTCCAGATACATACATTTTTTTTTAATTTAATAGGTATTGGCAAAAATGTGATCCTCGTAACTATAGTGACTAAGTTTAAATGTAATGGACAAAAATGTGATCTTGATAACTTTAGTGACTATAATTATATTGAAATACTACATCATAGTGACTATAAAACTTTCACATGGTAACTTATATAGTCACATTTTATATTTTTTATTAGTAATATTTTAGAAGAAAAAAAATCTTACTTTTTTATATAAATCCAGATTCTTTTCAAAACATAACAACATACAACTAATTCGGACAATATGTAGTTACACACCAAGTGTGTATATCGTATCACCGATTGTACGGTGTAAACTGGAGGTGGGCATGTCAGTTTTTGGTTCGGTTTATATCGGTTTGGGTTCGTTTCAGAACAGGTTGGAAGAATTATTCTTATACAAAAATCATTCTATTTTTCGGTCTAGTTCGGTGGGCATTATAGTTTTTGGTTCGGTTTTTATCGGTTTGGGTTCAGCTTGGTTCAGTTGGGATTTGTTATTTTTAAATAATATATGTAGGACTTATTGAATTTATTTAGTTCGATTCGATTTTTATTGGTTTTGGTTCAATTCATTTTAATATGGTTTGGAAGAAATGCTACTAAACTAACACCAAATTGCATATGATCTGGTTTCGATTCGGTCTAGATCGGTTTGGTATGGTTTGGTTAAACCAAACCGATATGCCTACCCTTAGTGTAAACTATACAATTAGTGGCATTTTTGTAATTTTATTTGAAAATCGTGACTTTTGTTGACTGAGAATCAACGTACATATATTGAGCATTATACATATTTGGTTGTGTACTAGGGATGTTTTTACTTGACTGAAATGTGTCAGTTTGGTCTGATACGGTTTGTTTAAATTTAGTCTGGTACGGTCTTAACTAATCTGGTTTGATAAATGTTTGATCTCTGTGTATTTTATAACTATGTAAGTCTGGTTAGATCTGGTCTAGTCTGTTTAAGTCTGTTTTGGTCTGTTTAATTTTGGTTTGGTCTGGAATTGAAAACAATCCAAGTAAAAACATTTTATTAAGAGTCTAATATGGAGTATCGTTATCTCCTCTTCCTATCTTCGAATTCAATTTCATTTTCTTATTTTTTATTTTATAAAATGTTCTTAAATTACATATATAATGAACTCCTGTGAATTCTAGTATGCAAATCTAACTTAATATTATACTTTTGAAATATGCATCGATATGAAAAACGTAAGCTCTGATAGTTGAGCATCAAAATATATATTTGCATCGACCATCAAAACCTATTGATTAGCAAAACATCATTATTGAGCACCGTGTTCTTTACTATTGAGCATTGAGACTATGTGATCAAACATCATATCTTCATTGAGTATTATCTAAATAGGCGTCCTAGACAGAATATATACTCCCTCCGTCCCGGATTTATCTTCATTCTTTCCTTTTCGGTCCGTCCCAAATTTATCTCCTTTTTCCAATTTTGGTAAAGAATATGTGGTTCACAACCATTCTTACACATTTCTCTCTCCTCTGCATAACTCTTGATGGAGTATATGGGTCTGAGCCCCAGGACCCACATACTCGGAAGAACAGAAAGCACAAGACAACAGAGTGGCGCCCTCGTCAGCCAAGACGCCCCGTCGGCCGAAGAGGAGCCAACTCGGATTATGGTCCTGAGTCCAAGGAACCTGGGTGCCCTCGTCGGCCGTGCCCTCGTCGGCCGTGCCCTCGTCGGCCGTGCCCTCGTCGGCCACGCCCTCGTCGGCCAAGAAGACCTCCCAGAATCGGATTTTATACTTACTCATTTGTACAGCCCATTAGTGGCTTTGTATTCGGCCCAGTAGCGGTCCAGTTGTAAATGGGCCTCCCAAGCACAAGGCTTGGGAGCCCAACCCTAATTTTCTCTATAAATACTCCCCTTGGGAGTAGTTATAGGGGTTACAAATTCATTCTATTGAAGCATATTATTGCACTTCTTTCTCTAGCTCTCACTTC